ACCACATTCATTTAACTAAACTTACTTATTATATATAATTTACTTAAGATCATCTAATATATACAACTCGACGAGACGTGCGTCCGTAACAATATTAATATGGAATATTTAAAAGATTCTCCTTGTCGCTCATAACATCATCATATGTTATATTATAATAATAAATAAGCAGGCAATCATCGAAATAAATAGATTAAGAACAATATAAATCACGATTGCTTGGTCGACTTTTAAACTCACAGCTGTGAAATATATAATGGATATGTTGTAGCCAACTGGGTACCAGATCTGTCCAATTAGGCGGCTAGCCTTACAATAGAATGGCGCCATTCATTTGCACTGGCTAAACGTCGATCAGCTGAGTAACAATCAAATATCACTATACTAATCACACTTATTAATTTTATTAATAGTAAAATGTCCGCGATATTCGAATAAAATTACTTTGAAGTTTAGCTTCAAATACACAAAGACTGTGTATTAATTTATTTAAGGTACAGCATCAGCTATACATGCAATTAACCGATTAATGTCCAATATGTTGCAGTACTTTATTACTGAAAACTTTAAAGTTATTTATCCGATTTGAAATACAGAATGAAAGAAAAACACTAAATCTAACGTCCACACAAAACTTAAGATTAAACGCCATCTAGTATCACCATTTTACCTCTCCACTGCAGGGGCTCATGCCTTCCTTATGGATTAGTTAAAGTGGGGATGGGCTATGACCCTCCACTTAGTAACTTGAAATAAAAAATTTTTGGTCACCCATCCCGTGACCAACCATTGCTAAAGTTGCTTAACAACAACGATCGCGGGCCGCAGCGCTTATCCACTACGTAACCGAGCTGCTCATCAGTATAGCAAAGCATGAAGTTCTTACTTAATTTCTGAAAAGTCAACCTTGACCAAAACAGGATGTAAAAGAACATCTCCTTTTATATGTATAGACCTATGTATAGATTACATAATATTTTTAAAAAGTATTGGATTTACATCCCGTTATAGACCGATTCAGATGAGTCTGTTTAATTTTATTTAAGAAACATGAGAGCCTCCTCTTACTTATAATAATTATCTGAAAAAGTCCACCCATTCTAAAAATAATAAATTATTTAAAATCACTAACTAAAGAGTTATAAAATATTTCGGAATAAATGCATTACAAAAAAAGCTGCACCGCCCGGGAATCGAACCCGGCTCACAAGATTGGGAATCTTGCATGATACCACTACACCAGCAGTGCTTAGGGGTGAAGAAGAAAATAAACAAATACGATTAGATTCGCTGTGTCAAGGTAAAAAAGTAAAACTACCCACAAAATGATCAGATTCGTATCCATTTTATATTAAAACTAGCTTTTTTCCGCGACTTACTAAATAAGAAATGCTGCTCAAAGTAACTTAGTAAAGTTATTTTGAGCAGCATTTCTAACGAATTTATTGATTATATCGTGTAAAATACCTGAAAAAAAGTTGCATTCCCTATTTTATCCCCTTCGTTCCCCTATTTTATCGCTAAGAAAGGATTTTGACCAATTCTACCCTAATTGATCAAAATCCTTTCTTAGCGGATGCCTACGTCCTAACATGAAATTATACAAAAAGACAATATGAAATTATATATCTCATCAAAGTATACTTTCACCATTTCAGAGATAACTCATTAATTCCATTGCTAAAAAAAGTCAATGGAATTTGGAACGGTTTGAATGCAACATCGGAATAGACGTTTTTCCTTGAAAATTTCATTCATATTCTGAAAAAGTTGTGATCTGTTAAATTAAGCTCTGGGGAGGTAAGGCTCTATTGAAAACATTCCAGTTGCAGCTCCTCCAATTTAGAGTCTATCTGTGGTGAAGTATATTCGTGTTATTATAAAACTATATATTTGGATTAAAACATTGGCTGCCTAAAACAAATTGGTTATGATCGAAGACAAAACGTTAAATTGAGACATGTTGACTTATTCTGCTCGGATAATGTTCCCACTTTAAGCAGTTGGAAGGCAGAATTGATTAATATGAAATTCAATAAAAAAACTGGGTAATGAACTCCTATCAAACTATTACCTATAAAACAACGTACCATCAAACTTTCGAGTTTGGCTAGAGTACGGTTAATAATATACATAGATTTGCTTTTTTGCTATTACGGAGCGTATTTTCAACCATTTTCAGGCAATCCACACAAACAGCCGATGGAAAGATAAAATTTTGTAAAAAATTTAGAGTGCCAGGGACAAAGTGGATTTATTAAGCATTTTTCATTAAGAGTATTTTACAGTATAGCATTGTGAATGCAAAATTGTTCAAATATAATAATTGTACGAGTATTCACTGCTGTAGGTGGAATAAAAACAACCACAAAGTATTTCTTTGCTGTGTCTATTCCAATCGAATTTTCTAGTCTCATATTATTGTAACGAAATACTCTTATAACGTAATAAAACCAACAAAATTGAACGCATTTAATACTTGCTCCCCAGCGTTTACAGTTTACCGGTGATGAATGTTGCCATAAAACAAAAGCGTAACCTAGAAGTTTTTTCTAATATTAGTTGTCCATACCCGCAACTGCATACCGCACCGTTATGCATTAAGATCAAGAAAGCAAAGCCAAACCTGGGACAGGAGCAGAACAAAAGAATATACATAATATAAGTTGATAAACATATATTTCTTTACGTCGCGCGGTCGGGTTGAAGTAGAAGAACGTTTTCGCCAAACTTAGGAGTCACTCAAATCTGTCGCCAATACATTTAGGAATTGCCTAAGATGAATATGCTGTTCACCAACCACATAACGAAATTAAACAATGTCTAAAGTCATAAATGTGTTATGCGGCGCCTTGCGCTAGACATTTTCGTGATTTGAAAGATCACAAATGTGTCAAGGGTTAAATGAAAAAAATGTTTATTTGGAATTAAACTAATCTGCTTTGGCAATTCGTAAGATTAGGCGTTTACTAGTTAAGCTACGCCTTGTTCTAGGTTAGAAAAAACTAGTAGTGAATGTGACCTTAGATGTTTTATTCTTATCATCTTTAAAATTTACAACAGAGAGCAAATCAACGCAGGCAAATTGTTAATGAAAAACACGTTTACAGAATATAAATTCATTTTATTGCGTTCAACAAATTTAACATCTATTTTTCTTTATAATCACTAAGAGCACCGAACTCGTTGAAAATAAATTGAGGTCACAAAATGTACGTTTTTGAAAACGTGGATGATGTATTTTAACATTTTCATAATTTGATTTGAAACTTAGGCTTAAAACACTTATCTCAAAGCATTAAATTGAGTTTTATTAAAATTTATACATTCCCAGACCAATAATATAACTAGTAATATCAAATACAGAACATTTTCTATGCTTAGCAAAAGTATGATTTTATAATAGATCAAAGCTATCAAGCTTTAATCATAAACGGCTGAGGCCCTATGAAACTCAATTAAAATTTACAAAATCACGACTTTGTGTGTTCACTAGAAATTACGCAGTATATTTCTCATAGCCAGTTGCACAAACGTCGTTTAAAATAGACATTAGTTCGAAGCGACATTAACAATACAAATTTGACATTCATTAGACTTTGGAGGCGTCATTATACCTTAATGGACGTTTGTGCAACTGACCGTTAGTGAAGTATTTTTTAATTAAAATTTTTGTATTTATAAAAACAAAAGAAAACTATAATTTTCTCTCTATTGATATTTATTTGTTATTATGGTCCATTGTCTAATGGCACTAAAGGGTTGTCTTATATTATCCAAACTTTGTCACTAGCAGCAGCTAGAACTCAGTAATAAACAAATGTGTTAGCAACAATATTGTCTTTTGCGTTACAATAAATGTATACATAGTCATTGCAAATAATTGTCATCCACGACTTCAAGATATCATATATTATGTTAAAGATAAATATTATTTCTAGATAAGACTATTTCTAAATGAATTGCTTTATTTCACAATTAAACAACATTATGTACATAATAATAAGATACACTAGTCAATTAAGTGTGAGATCTGGCTATTGATTTGCAAGAGAGTACACAAAAATGTATTTACTAGTAAAAAATATAAATTGCGAAAAATTTTTAAGGTTGAAGAACGTACATTTGTGTTATTATTCATTACCAATAGATGACATTTTGTTACATTTTAATTAATTATAATATACATTTATATTCTTCTGTTGTGCTACAGATATTTTTATGTAATCTTATTATAAAAAAAAGAAGAGAAAGCGAAAGGAAATCGGCAAGCTATTGATATAATAGAGACAAATGATGGCGTTTCCCGCGATATAGTGTATGTCAGTGCCGTATAAACCATAACTGTTATTTCAGTCTTTACTAATACCTCATTTACAAAGTAACTAACACATTTATCAATTGATATTAAAAAGAGTAATTAAAAGAATATAACCAAGGAGATTAAGAAATAGATAGATTTTTAAATAGTTTTTATCGAAAAAAACGTTTATTTTTATACACAAATTCGTTTAAGCATTTTTGCATTTGCAGCTCATTTGAAATTATAGTTTTTACACTGTACTTTATTACAATTTGGTAAAGAGGTTTTGGTACCCTCTGAGCATCTTATAAGGAATTTATATTAATTGTTAAATCACCTTTATTTGTAATGCATAAAAAATCTAACTACATTCTAACTTTGTCAAATAAAATTTTATTCAAAATCACATAACCAACGCCATCTTTTGGTACTTCATAACTTCACCGTGACATTCCACACTTTCATCATAAATAAGTAAAATGAATGATACAAAAATTAAAAACTAATTATGAGTTGCGACGACTAGTCACCGTTCCCTTAACTACCTACGTAATAAGTGAGTAGGTTATTATATACAAACAATCCATTGAGAGCATTTAGGTAAAGAAATATTGGACATTTTTTATGTAAGAAAGAGAAATCTATTTGTTTGCTCCACGATAGATTGTAAAGTCAATATTGAAAATTTATTCTATAGTTATTTCCTCTTGAGATTATCCGGTATGTAGTTGTCTGTACCGGGAATACCCGTGCCGCCAGAATCTCCTAACCAGGGGTACCTAAGAACACAAAAAAAAACATACATTAAGAAATTATTATATTTGATCAATCTTGCATTCACAATGTTATACTGAAATAAATTCTCAATATAAAATGCTTAAAAACTCCACTTTACCCCTGGCACTCTAAGATGGGACTCAAACCCACGACCTTTTGCAATCCGTGCGACTGCTATAACCATTGAGATTTAAGAATAGTTTTTACATTTTTACTTATTATATGAAATTTTTTAGATATATTTCATGTACATCTATAAAATAAAAATATAAAAGTAAAGTTGTCTACACCCCTATTGTGCTAAAGGAATACAATGAAACGGCCAGAAAAGAACAAAAGTCGTCGACTGTCTTCCCCATTTTTAATTGCACAACAAACTGACAAATGTTTTTCAAATATACCACTGTTAAATATATAAAGATTAAATTTCTATGATAACATATCGTACGCATATATACTATATATATAACAATATTGTTCAGGCAGCCATGAGTGTGACGTACTACGAGCATTTACCCTGATGTCATCCAGTTTTCCGAGTAGTTAATTCGCATTTGTTTGAGATGAAAATCAACAACTAGCAAATAAACTTTTACGAACAGTAGCTTCACGTGTCGTCCGAACTGGTTTCTATTTTTATACACCTATCAATAGCCCATCCTTTCAAAAGGAAAACTCGGTAACTCCGCGACTGCAGACCTAACGTGTTTCCTATTTAATTTTGTACTTACTGATTTGGGCACTCGCTACAAGTCTCCATGTAACGGGTATCGGTGAAATTCGAGTCTGTGTGCTTGAAGGAAAGAGCGCACTTGTTGGGTAAGTTGCAAGGTGCGGAAGGCAGGTCCCTGTTGTCGCAGCGCCACGGCTCGTAATTATTCAGTGACTTAGCTGACTTTGGATCTGTCATCCAAGTTAAGGCCTGCGTCACTGTCACGAACCACACATCTTTCCTGAAAGGAGAAATTTCTATTTATTTATTTGATCTAATTGAAAAGCAACATACTACCTTAGTATAGACATGTGATGGTAAGAGAAGATTTGCATGAAATAAAAAGGATTATGAGCATGAGTGTGGATGGAAATATAAGGAGAGGAAGATAGAAGAAAAGAAGGAGAGCCTGTTTGTAAGGTGATTTATGTAATAAAGTCAAAAGATATGTGCAAAAAAGTCAATATTGAGATAACGGCTGATCGAGAAGTATGAAAAAATAATATTATAACTCTTGATGAAAAGAGGACCAATACAGGCAATTATGATGACCCTGAAATGTGAATGCTTATATTAACCTTAATGTTATATTAACAGTATATATCTATCTATAGGAATGTGTATGCATATAGATTTTAAATACTTGGTAAATTTTGCAGTTACAAAACTTTATGAAAATTTATTTTTTAGAAATATACTTAAATCAAATATAATCTCATGTGAACCTCAGATCACAGAAATACACGGTTTTAATCATTATTCTAAAGCATCTAATTAAAACATATCATCTGCAGAGGCTCAGGCGTTCCTTATGAATGGTTAAAGAGGATAATTAAATATATACCCAAATATAAATGTATATTAATTTATATGAAAAACTCTATTATAATTTGCATTGTTTTCTAGACTTCTAATTACAAAAGAGAAAGTTTCTTATACAACCACGGTTGTAACAAAACTTTACAGCCAGCGTCACATTGTCAACAACCAGTATTAAATTTATGTAGAGTGAATGTTCATGCATAGTACACAACTGTGCGACTCAAAGTTCTAAAGTTTCGCATCGTCAGTATGTTATCTACGACGACTTTTAGTAGGTACATTACAAATTCAAAGTCAAAGTGCAAAATATTTATTGCATATCACATTATTACAAACAAAGAGGTTTGTACTCAATGAACATCAACAATTATTTGCATGTTTGGTATGAATTTTTATAAAAAGCAATTTTTATAACAATTCTATTATTATTTCGTAGTTTTATGTGCTCTAATTTTTATATCATGGTGATAAGTAAATCTTAGCAAAAATCGCTAAGCAAAGATTTACTAATTTAATTACATAACAACAATTTTGATATGTTTTGCTGTTGAAATGATGGTGAAAAACATGAAATAAAAATATTTCAGCTGCATCTGTTTATGTATTTATCAGTCGTAGCAAGATGCTACGGCTGCCTGGTCCAATCGTAGCATTGGTCTACGAAATATATATTTAAGTAATATTTTTTTATTTGATTTTTTAGGACCAAAAACAGTTACAAAGTTTTCCAGTAATAAAATTAAGTAAACAGTTTTAATTTTCAGTAAGCTTCGCTGTACTGGAAAATAAGTACAATACTATAAAATCCATTTTTTTTATCAATTTTGTGCATTGGTATTAATATCGATATATCATGGATTATTTCGTCGTCAGTCTTACTCTAACTTAGGTATGTTTAATGATATAGAATAGAACAGAGCACAGTGAAGGTATTGGTTTCCGAATTAAAACCGCTGATTTGCTAGTGTATGTATGTACAGTTAATATTTACTACTACTACAATATGAATGCGAATGTAACATATTTTATTATGACATCAAATTCTATAATTAGTTAAGTATGTTTATTTCTCTATTGCAATATGTTTTTATTAAAACTATAAAAACTATTCCAAAAAAATGATTTGACTTTATATAAAGTTAAACTAAGTTCCAACTTTTCAAGCGAAGCGCAGCATCAAAAATGAAATAACTTCACAACAGAAAAAGAAAACTAACCAGTCCACACCCTTTACGCCTCAGCCGACCGAACCGATATTTGCTTTTATCTCTCGAATAAATTTCAGAAGCAAATCCATTTTTACAGAATCACCAACATAATTTTGTTTTGAAAGAGATAGCGTCGTCTATAAAACACATTCGATAGTATATCTACAGGAGACATATTTAAAGACAGAAAAAGTGTTTATAACTCGTTTCTTTTTATATTAACGAATGTTAATCTATTATTAACATTTTAATCCACAATGCAATGTGAATGTTACTATATAAGTTAAAAAACTTGATGAATTAACGAAAATATGATTAAATAACTAATTGAAATTACGAGTATTGGGAGCGATTAATAAATACAGACTGAATCAATTTATAAATAAATTTTAAATATTTATATTATAATAATAACTATTTCGGATGCTGGAGTTCTGGAATATAACATTTCACTAAACAGGCGATAACATCACTAATTAATTCACTTATTAATTGGAACCTAAAACGGAAGACTGTAGAGTCTTCCATTTTAGGTTCCGTTCCGTTAAATTTACAGTTTTTCGATTAAGTAATAGTCAAGCACTATTCCTATTTAGCGATCGCGGCCGATACCAGGTTCTTTGCGCTGTTTAAAGCTTCATGTGAATTCATGTTAATCAGAGGATAATATTTTTAATTTATATTAGTTTAGAGAGCGCCCACTCTCTGGACACTATTGGCGATTATTTAAACTTTAAAAGATAATACAATTATTGAATACAATAAGACAAAGACTAATATTATAATAAAACTGAAGCTCGAGAATCGACTTTCGTCTAGATTACTCTCAATCTACTATTGACTTTGAGCTTCGTTAACCTTACTTTACTTTTGTTATTAAAACTGACGCCTTACTATTTGAATTTTAAGATAAAAGTTTTCTCAATTTTCCATTCAGTTGAATCAGATTTAAAACTTGTCTCATTGTTTCTATGAATGAAGTTTTAATGATAATATTCTACGAAAATAGAAAATATTGTGGTGCGAATAATGAATTTATAAATAATAAATGAATAATACACAATGTCACAAACAAATTGTTGTTTAGTTGAGTAAACATTACAAAAAACCAGAATAGGCTTCTTCTAGACAAGCCCGTTCCACCGTAGATCTCTCTCATTTATACCCCAGGCTGGATTGAGATTAAGAGTGAGCTAATATCAATAATATATATTTATCACGTAGTTAGTTCTAGCTACTTATGCAATATATAGAGCATAGATTTAATAATAATAATAATATAATAATAAATGTTTATTTGCGAGAATATGGTACACATGATGTTATACAGTTATTAACAATAGTTTCTCATATTCTACAGTATATGAACAGTGTGCAAATATTTTTATTTTTAAATGTCATAACATAAAAACAGAGAATAATTTTTCAGTTAAGATGATATCAATAATTAACCATTCAACCATAAGAATCCATTTACAATTATCATTACAACTGTCAAATTAAATGTCATCTAAATTTAAATTTAATTACCAATTTTATCCATTAAGAAGTCATTAATATTATAATACAATTTATTTATTAAATATTCATGCAGATGTTTTTGGAATTTCGTCAAAGTCATGTCAGTAAGGTGTTTTGGCAGCTTATTATAAATACGTATAGCCATACAAAAAGCATTTTTGGAATAAAGGGTCAATCTTTGTGGTGGCACACACAATTTATCTATAAATCTACCCCTATAATTACAGCTATTACCATTCACTTCAAACACATGTATTTAAGCACTTACAAGTTAGCTGCCCAATGCAGGAACTTATGTAAACCACGTTCTAATTCTTTGATCTGGAACCAGTTGGTGTGGAATGGCATCATATACGGCGCACGGTTCTGATCATAGTACCGACTGAAATCTTCTTGTAGCCATTCCAAAACCTGAAAGACAGTGAATATTCATACTTATCAATATTATAAATAGGAAGTAACTCTTTTACGCTTTCATGGCCACACTTGAGCCATTATGACACTGTAATGATGTTAATAATTACCGAATTGAGAGCTATGTTAATACCAAAAAAATTACGTGTCGCATTTTTTAAATCTTCATCTGTTTATGTACCTAAAAATAAGTAGAAATACTTATATCAGCCTAGTCCAATACAATTTATGATCTATTACAAAATATTTTATAGTGGAATCTATTGTCAATGCAAAAATACGTCACGAGTTAGGGTTCGGCATTCCGGTTCTTTGTTTAATATTAAAAATAAATAAAAATAATTTCTTAATTTCCTTAACAAAATAACACTTTATCGACTTCACTAATTATCATTTCGAGTTTCACTCATATTCAGAGTGGTAAGTGTAAGTTTTACGCTAACGCGTTCACTAGTGAGCGCGTTATGAATTTGTATGGAGATTTGTAGTTCTTGGTAGTTACCGCTAGAGGCGCTGTACCGGATTCCATACTAAAATCTTAACGCGCTCACGATCGACAGTGAACGTAAACGTCAAAAAAACTTACACTAAGCGCTCAGTTCGCTAATCTCTGAAAGAATGTCGAGACGATTAATCCACCGCGTATTTAAAGGGGCCGATACCACATCCAGAATATTCTAGGTTAGCCTTGGCCTCGCCAGTATATTAGAGGTATCACCAAAAACTTTTAGAACGCTACCCGTCCCTTTGTTCTCAAGTGATTCTCCTTTTCTTGCACACCGTATACCTACTATATGAAATACGTAGCTTAGACGGTGTTAGCGCGATTGAAATGACACGTAATGACATCTAGTAACGGGTAGACGAAACTTCGCGCCGCTGTAAGTAATATTTCAACATGATCTATTAGGGATAATTGCTTTGTTATTCAGTTGCGAAATTTGTCGAATATACATACATACACAAGTTAAATAAATACTTGTGAAATCGGTGACAATCTACAACCACAAAAACATAAGCAGCTAAACATAATAGAATTGATCAGCAATAAGAAAAGTATTACGAATACTTTTCTTATTCCTGAAATAATACCCATTTCTGTGATATTTACTCGGGTCACGACAATCTATTGTTAACAATAACAATAATGTTGGGAAAACCTATTGTGCCTATGGCCTCAGAACGCATCCCTAGATAAATCCTGTTTTATAAGACACGGACGTTATCAAATCAATTGCTTCGCGTCGCAAATCGAATAGCTACATTTTTATAGCGAATTTTTTTTTTCCCAATTCGTATTGTTGATAAGGGGGTAGAGAAATAAATAAGTACTTTGTTAAATTAATTAGCCATTATCAGTTATATATATTTTTAAAAATATAATATTTTAATGTACCATTAGTAAACTATTTTGAAGGCAAACGGGGCGATTTTAAGCAGTCATGGTGTATTATAATATTTTCTTAAGTATATTTAAAATAAATAAAATTAAAGAAAAGTAAAATTTCCAGAATTATGTTATTATACAGGGTTACTGTAAACACCAACAACCTTGCAAGACTAGTTGCAAACATTATATACAAAAACGCTTGTTCTATGATTTTGAATACACAATAAATTACATTTTGCTTTATTATAAAAACGTAATTTTATTTCTTTTACCGCAAGAATTTGAATGACTCTACTTGCACCACCAAGGTTACGTACGTCGCGTCATCTATTTGTTCAGTAATCTATACTAATAATATAAACAGGAATGATTTGAATGTTTATAACTAATGAACATTCAAATCTTTACTGTTTGCATCGAATAGCCTCCGAAACGTCTGAGCCGATTTTAAAAATTCCTTCTACAAGAAGCTACATCAGATGCGAATAACATAGGATATAATTTACGTGGACTCAAAGCCACGGGAATAGAAGCTAATAAAACTAGAACGTAGTAAAAAACGTAGATTAAATACAATATTGTTTAGCTATTTAACAATGCAAGGGTGCTGGTGTTTTAATAACCCTGTATAATAAGATATTATAAATACCTACAACAAAGTGAACAATTAACAGCAAGTCAAATATGTCAAATTTCTTTACTTCACATAAATGCTTTGAGGATAGCATTTTCAAATCAACTCATGATATATTGCGATAACCTGACGTGCAGCCGTGTGTGCTTAAAAAATCAACAAATTTAATATAAGAAACAAATCAAAACCTGAACGTTCCATGTTCGAATTAATTAATTCTGCATGCATTCTTCATTCGATCAACCGCAATCTTAATATACAACCCTTGTTATCTTTCACATAGTCTTCTGTTTTCTTCGGTCTTCCTCTCCATAAAAGTTCATATTCATAGTCATAACCCATTTAATCTAAAGACCGACATCAAATATGGATGATAATTTTAAAGTGCAGTTATAAATATTTTACCTCGTCAGAATCATGGTTGTGTAAAACGCACTGGTCCAAGTACGGGCAATGTCCTCCTTCGAATGATTCCACGTAATGCGCATTGAATGGAACTTCCCATAAACCTGTGAACAATGAATTTTTCAATTTAAAATATCACCCAATAGAATTTTAAAATCTAAAATCTTACTTGTAGCTTAATACTGCTACCCAACTTATTCTGTGCTGTTTGCTACCCATAACGTAATTGTCGATTGGTATCAATAAAATTTCAACAAAACCTTTTTTGGCGCTACTTTAAATAATTATGTATTTAAACTTTCACCTATTACTTTACCGATCGCACACTTCATGTGTCAAAATATATTACATAAATAATACTCGTGGCTCAAACGTGGTCTATCGGTAATTACGTTCCTATTTTATAATTTTTATTTACTCTTATATGCGTAACAATTAATAAAATTTAATTTCAAAACAATTTCAAGTTGCAAAGAGGATTAATATTACAGGTAATCGAACTCTCCTGACGTCAATCAAAAGGAATTAAGAGCTTAAAATCCCATAGGAAATTATGAATTTTCCCAATTAAAAGGAACTCGTATTTATCAAATTAGATATTTAAATTATACCGAAAACTCAATTTACCTATTCAATTAGGATTTTATATAATAAAGTCCTTTTATGGATTTAAAATAAATACCTTTCAATTTTATGTCAACACCATACATTTTTACATTTTTGTCTAACGATTCAATTCATAGAACGATTATAACATTTTGTTTTCTAATCTTTTTCCTACCATAATTACTGGCAATCAGCTCGGTATTGTGTGTGTAGTATGCCTTTCTATTCATTCCATTTCAAAAATAACTTAATTGTTATCAAAGAAATATTATACGCCACTGGTCGTATTTTACTAGAGCAAACGATCCAAAGTGAGGTCAAAAGTTCAATTGCTAGCAGCAATCTTCAGTAAACTTGTTACAGTAAGAAAATGCCGAAAATAAAACAATATTTTCAATTAACATAATAATAGTTATACAGGATTTTTAGTGTATACGAATTTTTAAGTTGGCACAAAAGCTTGCAAACCTGTGCCGAATTTAATATATTTCTTATAATTGCCTATCATTCACGAAACAAACGGTTATAGCGTGCAATCAACAATATCTCTGAAACACTTCACTGCTTATATACAAAAGGGCCACAAGTCGAAATTAAGAAAATTTGACGAAAGCGAGTTAAAAATTTTCAGTTATTTTTTTGTTTCTGTTTTGGCAGTTTTTCGTTGTAATGTTTTTATGTTATATGAATCGTATTTTAATTCCGTATATCTTAGTTATTTTAACTTTCTAATAATTATAACTTTAAGAGAGATATAAGTAAATAAGCCCTTTCTAATATAAAAAATTTGCCACGAATAATGTATTTTACATTTAATATATATATTTAATGCATTTTATATGCATTTAATATTTATCATTATAGTATTGTTACTTTTAAAAATAACTTAAAGCTTTACATTTAGCTTACATCAGAAGAAACAGGCATCGAATTGCTTCATTAATTTCAATGAAGAAGTATAAAGTATATCACTATTTTTAAGAAGTTTTGCTTAGTTTCTTTTCCATAGTAAAAGTAAAAAAAAATCTAATTAAATTAACCTCTTTACTGTTATTTTGAATCATCCAACACTTTTCTCTACCATTCCTTCAGGGCGTCTTTTGGCTGATAAGAAGAACGAACAAGAAACTCACCAGCTCTAATGGGAGTTACGTCATTCACAAAAAAAACAGATCATTACATTATAAATATATGAAGTCACTTTATTTTACAATATTAATATAAAATTGAAAAAAATCTATGATCTTACAATGCTAACTTAATAATTAAATAACGCCATTACAAACGATAATTATGAGATATAATTAGTTAGGAAGAAATCAGCTATCCAGTTGCGAATGATAATATGAAGAATAAACTCACTTGTCTTTTTGTGTGATTTATTTCTAACGATAACTTTAATCTTATTTTACAATTTTAGCAAAAACTTTAATATTACTAATCCCAGGCTTTGTGGTATACACAGAGAGAAAGACAGGAAATGTTGCCAGAATAAATGTTTAATATTCTAACACGTCTCCTTACATTTATACTGCAACAATTAAATTAAAACTAATTTTCAAGTTAGAATATAAACTTAGAAATATTTGATTTGTTTCAAAGCTTGCAATGTATACTTATATAATAATATTTTCTATTATTATATATTATACTAACATTTTGAATCTCTATTCTCTTAAGTTTAAATCTCTCTAAACTTGCAGATATTTGTAAATATATCTGCAACATTATTTTCTGACTCTATTTTAACTGCTGCAATATATTTTTTCTTAACACATTCATGAATATAGTGATATTGTACATCAATATGTTTAGAATTTTAGTTAAATTTCCATATTTTGCTATGGTTACCGCACCTGAGTTATGTGTGAAAAGCACCCTTTTGCAAATGTGTAGTTTTTTAACTAAGAAGTTAATTTTGATCGCTATTTTTGGGAAAAAAAATAGGTATTTATTGCCCCATTAAAATAAAAGTGATTTTGGAAAACTTTCTTTTGTGGCCCTTTTATTTATAAGCAGCGACTTATTGTACCAACATCGAAGCTTTGTTATGAGCAGATCGTGTCGCGACAATTGGTTGCGTGATACTAGTTTCATCAAAATATGTGCATGACATGAAACTCCTCTAGTTTTGTGAAACTAATGCATGCATAGTGAAATTAGACGTTTAAAGATCAAACTGCTAGCGAATTAATGCAAAGAAACTAAATACAACTTCTTTCGTAATGTCGTTTCAGCTTAAAGGTATGGTAATTTCTTTGCGTGCCAAATATTTTAAAATGTGTTGTTGACGAAAAGTCTGGTCTAAAACGTGTTTATATCTGTATTATATATATTATTAAATTAAAAAAACCTTACTTGTAACCTTACAAAGGAAACGTAAACCTTTTTTATCTTTCTCGTGTAGGGAACGTACAAATGTAAAATAGAATTCGTCTCGTTTTCAATGGAATGATCTGGCAACATGATAGTTTTGTCAGATGACCGTGTTCGCAAATAGGTAGTGTAGGAAGGTCGTAAGAAAGCGTAAAAAAGCCGTAAGAAAGCGTTATTCGTTTTTGTTTTATTAACTTCACAAGCGCTGTTATTATATGTATCAGAAACGTACAAATAAGCACACTTAATTTTCACTCTTTGATTTCCTTTTAACTTATTTAATAATACTGCTTTTTGACAGTTTTCTTTAAATATTAATTTGTTCTCATCACTTATTTATTTATTTATTATTACTGTAAAAACACTAATAAAAGGCGGAGTTTACTTCTACGGCATTCATTATATCACTCATCTATTTCAATACACATCTACGTTATAAGCAATAAACGCATCCACAAGGTATTTTACGAAATATATGTAAAAGCCACAGAAATCACAAAATTAAATTCCTCGATTTCAAGCCGTCAATTGAAATGTTATTTGAAACGAGAAAAGTTTCGCATGTTCGCCGACACCCGTCATTTCAATAGAAATTAAATTCTTCCGTTTGCGAAAACTAAGGAAGGGATTCTTGGTTAACCCTCGTATTCATTGATGTTTTGGTATAAAAAACACCCTTATATAAAATAGAAAGAAACAAAATATAAATTTTATTACGGGAAACATTCAATCAGTATAGAAACCTTAACATTATATAATATATTCAGAAGTTTTTGAAAAATACAACTTCTGTTATTGATATTCTAAGTTGATTAATGATACAGAAACTAGCCAAGTGCAAGTCGCACATAAAGATTTCCGTACCATTATCCATTATTAAAAAAAACACACATTTTGTTTTCTATTAATTTAATTAAATTGGTCGACTATTACTCGTATACTTGTAAAGCCTACTTAAGTATGATAGTTTTTACTTTTAACTTCGTTATATGTAGGTACTACTGCTGTAAAGTTTGAATTTTTACCAACAACCCTTTAGTTGGTAGTTAGAGGGACACTTGACTCTAGCGAAAATTAGCTGTTTAAAGCTTAATAACTCACAAACAACTTACTAAATCGAAAAGCGACCTTCCCACACCCACAGTGTTTTTGAAAGACCAATCCAACAACGCCCCTATATATATATATAGCTAAACTGCGGACAGACGGACATGGCGAAACTAACGGAACCCTTAAAATTACCCATAAACTGCTAAGACCTCGTGCATTAAAAATCAGTTATTTTATGCCTTTTTTTATTTATATTCTATACTAAAATTACAAAGCGGAAAAATTTTTTTCATTATTTGTCGAATAGGTTTCGAAATTACTGGAATTATTTTAAAAATTGTTTCACCCACAAACAGTTTAATTATACGCGAGTGACATTAGCCCATTTTTTACGAGGAAAAAGTCTCAGAAAAACAGCTAGTAATATGAGTATGAGCTTTACGAGTATGACGACTTTTCTGGAATTTAAGTTCCTAATTTGAAAATAAGAACCGTTAATTTAAAAGCGAAATTAAAACGTTGGCGAATTTCAATGGACGTTTGTGCATCTAGGTGTAAATGTCTCTTTCATTTCCGTCTCACCATTAAACTAAAATGGCTAACCTCACCGAGATTGAAGAAGATAACAATTTCAAATATGACGACGTCTCAAAGGCAAACTATTAGGAACTCTCTGGCATACAGCGAACTACCTCAAATTCTTAATCAGTGTAAATGGGAAGCAGGGTTAAACAAACTTCTATGTAAATTTGTAAACTTACATATTATGAGCGAAAAGCGAAAATATAAATGTTTGTTCACTACTTTTTCGGATTCGAAGAAAAATATAGCTTTGATCACACCAGATATATAACGAAATGAAAGTTAGCAGTCTCAGAAAAAGGAGCTTGAACGTATATTTTTTTTAACCCTAAAGTTCCTTGATAATTTCTTCAATATTTACTAGACCTATTCGGTTATAAATGACGGCTATCTGCATACCAGTGACGTGTTGTGACACCTTTTTTATTTGAGAATTGTGTTTTTAATATTGCTTGTTATTTATTTATAACTTACCAGGGAAAGATTTTGTCGGACACGTTCCTGATTTGCACTCGTGAGGAATTTTGTAATCCAACGTGTATGGCCAAACAGGGATGGGTAACGGCGGGACACCAACCGAACTATCGTATATATAACCGAAGTCTTCCATTACCTGAAAAAAAAATATAATGTAATGGTTGTAACACCATCTTAGCACATGAAGCAGAGTGATTTAAAAATAATCTATAAATATATGCATTTCATTTTCAAGTTTTTTGAACCCAATAAAATTATCTTACTAATTAATAAAAATATAACAAACTAAAGTTTTTAATATTACTTGTGTGCCACAGCCACAGAAATCACAAAATAAATATTACGATATATAATTAAGTCAATATTTATTTGATATTTGTGTTTTTACCCCTTAATGTGGTAAACGATGACATTTTTAAGCTAATTGTTCACAAACCTTTGGACCAATGTAAAAGCATTAGTGACTCCCATACTTTTAAAGTTTACTTTGCTATTATAACAAATATAGTTTTCTGTAAAAGAAAAACGTACCGTAATGTACAGAATTACGTACTGGGGGCCAATTCTACTAAATAAATTTCGTTTAAATCGATTCGAAAACGGATCGAAACCGAACTTCATTACAGTTTTTAATGGTTTTCCTATTCGACAAAAGTGACATACGATACAATTCCAGTTCTATTTTAGCTGGAATTGTATCGTAAGTCACTTAGTAGAATAGAAAAATCATTAAAAACTGTAGGTTCGTTCGGTTTCGATCCGGTTAAGATCCGTTTTCGATTTGATTTAAACAAAATTTATTTAGTAGAATTGGCCCCCTGTTCTCAGTACTTCTGTAGGTAGGTATTTATTTTAAATTGCAGTTAAATTTTCCTTCATTATTTTAGTCACAATCATTACATATATGATAATATATGATATTATATATATATGATAATAATTTGCTATAGAATAAAGAGGAAAATAGTATATTAATTTTGACGAATTGAATGAATTCAAACTTGGCACAAATCTCGTACATTATATTTTCATGCTTTTAGTGAATCGAAAGCTTAACTATATTTCCAACTTACACTTAGTTCCATAAAAGGAGTCATTGAAAATAATTCTTCCTTTGCTTTCTACTATATTAAATTAATTTATGTTCGAAATAATACTTAAAGCAGATTTACAATAGGGATGACGTCAAATTTTTCTTTGTTTGTCAAGTCAGGTAGATTGTTAAAAATATTAAATTAGTATTTTTATTACTTTTTTGTTGTGTAATCATTAAATAACAGCCATACATTGAGTTAAAATGTCGAATGACATCACGCTTTGGTACATTTTCAACAAAACTGTGGCGTAGCGAGAACCCACTCCTCAACTTTAATGCCTGTTATCTAAACTACTTCTTGTTAAATGGAAGTAAAAAATACTTGTCTAATAATTTTCTATTATCTGACTGACGGACTAAATATATTTTTTTCCCCAATCGTCATCCCTATTTTGGTATAAAATTGTTACAACAGTTGGTTTTGTTATTATTTAATTACGTTATCTAAAATGAAATAGGTTCACTTGTTTTACGAAAAATACAGGGCTGGTATTCCAAAAGTATTGGCAATCAGTTTCCCAGTTGTCGACATAAATAAAGGGTTAACGAGGTCTGAAAACCGACACCTATTAATCAACACAAGTTTTTATTTGAAACTTTAAAGACACTAATATATGACCAGAAGTTATATTTATGTCTCAATTTAAAATAGTGTTTATATCAAGATGTAATGCAAGAAACAGAATTATAGTATGTTTTTATTTTTAATTATAGTTACTCACCTTGAACTGTGTGTTTCTGCCCGGTTTCAGGAATGGTGCGCGTGCGCCGGTTACTTCTGTGCGGGACACGTTAGCGAATTTCCGCAGTATCTCGCGCATCCCTATCATCTCTCCGGCCCACTCTTCGTAACCTTTATCTTGGAGTCCTTGCTGTTGAGATACCGTCCCTGTCGCAATCTGAGATAAAGCACTATTTAACTATTTGTTCAATTAAAAAAATATATGGTTTTCGTTTTTTTTATGTTAACATAAAAAAAGTGTTTAATATTTGCACAAATGAAGACTTATTCGTGAAACTTCTTTATAAAACCCATTACCTACATAAATTAATTTTAATAATCATCTTCTGATTACCTTAAAAAAAGCGTAGTGCAATTTCGATGAATTTAATAATGACAATTACTTTTATTAATTACTACATTACAAATTATCATAAATATTGTTAACTTATTTACCTCGTGGCCGTCGTGAGCAAGTGCCTGAACCATAACGTAATTACTGAAAACAAACAACGGAATGAAACATAAAAATTTTAACAGAATATTATTTTAGGCACTTGGCTAATGTTTACTTTTAATGAGTTTTGAACTTCATCATAGCCTATATACCCTACAACTGGGGCGAAAAACTTTAGTATGAATTCTGAGCTTATTTATCTTAAATTGAGACGATAATGTTAATATCATACATGAAATTACCAATTATAATTATTTATTTTAAGAGAAAACAAACATATTCATAATCTTATCATAGATATTATAACATAGAAAATCGATTTTTTTTATTGAACGGAACATTTATTACTATGACAGTGTGTGTTAGTTTAATATATTAGTATGGAGCCATTAAAATATATATATAGCTTATTCGAACTTTCATATTTCATTGGCTGCAATACAATCCTTTAAACGCTAAGGCCAGTTATCAATAGACGCACGCACTTTTCCCATGGGAAAATTCTTAACTAGCAATCGTATAATTATTATAGGAACTCCAAATTATCAAGGCGTTTAGACCATGATACTTTAACCATTTTTACCGGCTTTTTTGTTAAAATATTGCTCAATTGTAAAAAGCCCTTTACGTACAGCTTCAGTATTTGTTTTGCTTTTACCACCCTATTCTTTTTTAAATTATCTGTTAAAAAGTGACCAGTGCATAATAGACTGCTAGCCCTAAGTCGTCTATTAAAATACGCGATATGATTCTAGGTGTTATCTTCATCTCGCGAAATAAAATCTAATCTTTCGGAAAGGATTTATGTAAGCGATCGCTGTAATTGCATTACATAAAGTAACGATCTCTTTATCACCTCACTCTATTTTAATATCACAAAATAATTAATAATGTATTGGCGCGAAAATAAGAAAAGACAATGAACAATTATATGAAAATGATAGATTTGAAATTCAAAAGTAATACTTTGTTTATTTTTAATTATAACAGTATTTATGGCAAAACTAAGTATAGCATCTTCAGATGCTATACTTATAAGTTTCACTTATGTTGCTGTGAATTAATACAGGTTAACCTTATAATAATTATGTAAAACCTATATATAATATTAGTAAGTAGTTAAAAGATTGTATGGTAAAATAGAAAAAACCTCAAATCTTGATAAAGAAACAATTTGTTAGGATTTGTCTCTAACCCACTGAGGGGACACCTCTCCACCCTCCGTGAGAGGAGTCCAGCGCGGCGGAAGAAACCGGCCCATCCTTGCAGGGTTCTTCCTATCCCCGTGAGGTCCTTTTCAGGGTGGAGTGGTTAGAGAGCCCTGATTTAAGTTTTAAGATGCATTCCCCACCGTATTAAAAAAAAAGGATTTGTCACTAAAATCCGAATCAATTGTCTTATTATATAAAAAATTGACATAGGTATATTCTTAAGAGTATTTTAATGCTTCTTATTATAATCACAAACATTATCACAGTAAAGGTCAGAGTGTACCGAGGCTGACTTTACTTAAAAATCTAAATTATTTTTGGATTTTGTAATCGAAAAGAATTTTAAAAGAATGTTGTCTTATTAGCTAACATACTCATTCTGCGTACTCGTGTATACTAGCTTCTTTATCTTTTGCAAGGCCTGGTAAGCGTGTAATCTAGATGATAAAGAAACCTAGGAATCTGTATTCAATTATATACATATGCCCTTATAATAGGGATGAGGACTGTGAAAAAAAATGCAATTCTATTTAGTCCGTCAGTCAGATAATAGAAAAATATTAGATACATATATTTTTTTACTTCAATTTAACAAGAAATAGCTTAGATTTTAAAGTGGAGGCTCGCTACATCACAGTTGAGTAGAAATGGTACCATAACGTGACGTCATGCGAAATTTCAACTCCATGTAACGCCGTAATTTTATGATTACGAAAAAAAAATAACTACGTGTTTAATATTTTTTAGCACTCTACCTGACGGACAAACAAACAAAAATTAGTCATCATCCCTATTAGCACATTAATAAGCTGGTGATAATGATGATAGAGACACATAACTATGTAAAAGATATTATAATAAAAGTTACCTGTACTCATGAGAGAGGAAGAACGTTCCTCTTATAGCACAGCCATTGGGATTCTTTATCTTGCCGTTGAAAACTTTCTTGTACAGTTCGAAGTTGTTCAAATTGACGGCCCCGTCGAAAGTTAGCATGATCATTTGAGGCGTCTGTCGGATAATAAATGGAACTTTACATTTAGATGCGTCTTGGAAAATTATATTACAAGTGAGACGCGATATTCCTTTATGAATAAATCGACGTACTATTGAAACACAGTATGAATTTATAGAACATTCTTCTGAAGTTAATATGATATTAAATACATGTTTCATGCTTACTTTTAAACAAATTATTATTTATTTGAATAAAAAATATATGTGAAGAAACGAATATTAATTACAAGTGCAAAATATATCAATACTAATATTATAAAGAGCAAAAATTTTATTGATTTTTTTGTTTACAATGGAGTAAATTCATTATCAACTGGACTGATTTTAAAAATTCTTTCACCTACGGGAAACTACGTCATATACTGTGGACATAGGCTATATTTTATCCCCCAAAAAGAGCAAATAAAGGTAATGAAAATTGGGAGTGGAAGTTTGAACGTAAACATTGTTTACTATTTAATTGGTCATTGTGATTATTTCTGTGTGATTTTTGTGTCATGATATGAACCGATATCTAAATAAACAATTCCCTAGAGAACACGCGGGCGAAACCGCTGACAGAAAGCTAGTATTTAATTAAACAAAATACATGTATGTACTAATTCTAGATCTAATTTCACATATATAGTCCACATCTATAGCCTAAAAGATATAATTACAGAGTTAATGCCGCTGCCATACTGTCTATTATTTGTGCGGACTTATATATTCTTTGAATAAAAATGCATTACAATACAAGGCAATTCACGATGTAGTTTATAATCGTAATTTAACGAAATTTGTTCGGTTGCAATCATTTCTTCTCGTTTATGATTAACGATTAGGCAAGCATAAAAATTAAATTTACTGTATTTTGTTGGTCAAGAATCGACTTTAGCTATTAAGTTATCAATATTCATTATTTTCTTAGTCGGAACTGCATCCTCAAATGACAAATATATATAGATGTCGTGCTTGATCCATACATAGCCTTTATTGATATAGAGAAACCATAAGGTAAGATTAATTGTACAAGAATTATGCGTACACTTAAGGAAGCTGGATTAGGCTACAGTAATAAGAGAGTAATATATAACTTATACAGAGAACAGGAAACTGCAATAGAGATTGGAGAGAAAAGAGAGCCGGCAAGGATAAGGCAAGAAGTCAGACAGGTATGTCCACTTTCATCACAATTTTTTATATCTTTATAGAACAAGCATAGCCACTAATTCCGTAAACGGTTTAAAATACAAATGCCAAACCTTAGTTACAGAATGCGACACCCAAATTTATTGATTATTTCTGTTGGCTTTTCCTTTTTCCGAAGGTTTAAATAGTAATTGCGTTCTCTCTGCGAAGGTTTAAATAAGGAATATTTCATCCATGCTTACCTCTTCTGGATCTATACCGCCCGGTATTAAAGTGCCATCTTTGGAGCAGAAACAATAGGGTAGCTGACATTCAGCTGGATCGCATTTTGTTGCCAAGTCTAAAGGTGCTTCTGTGATGGGGGCGGGTGCTGCAAATATAAATCATTATAGAGCTTTAAAAATATATTACATGTAAAATATAATCGAGAATTGTTAGTGAGTGCTACCATGATATGTAAGATTGCAATGAGGGCTTCTGTCAAAGATCAATAACTTAATTAAATACTATTATTACCCATTAATTATACTTCATGTATACACTTGTGAAACACGAATATCAAACTTAAACGGCTTGGTTGTATATAGCTTAATAATTTAGATATTGTACTGATTCTCAATCGAAGTCTTCCAGATCCCGTGAACTAAAATTCTGTATATGTATTTCAGTCTATTCTTTTGTTTTTAACGGCAGAGTGATGACTTAATGTTCCTAAAAATTAAAATACTTCTGCTTCTAGATATACCACGTGGACGAAGTCAAGGGCAAAAGCTAGGTTACTAGACATTTCTTTCTTTATCTGTACATAGTATATCGCATCCCCCTGTCTACAAGCTGAAATCTTTGAAACGACAACGGAATTTAATTTTTCATTGATATATTCAGAAGAGATTCAGGAGAAAGATTTATATGTATATTACAAGACCACGCGGGTATAGCCGCTGACGGAAAGCTGGTTACTTCTTAAAACATTTGTCAGTTTATTTTATGAAGAAACAATATGACTAACGAAGCAATGAATTTGTTAAAATCAACAACTTGATTACAAAAGCCTACGCTTTACTATCGTTAGTAGGTACAGCGATTGTTCTCTGTGTAAACAAATTGAACGTCAATTAGCTTCAACTAATTGCATCACGTTTGACCATTGATGGAGACTAGGGCTAAACAACCGAAACTCCTGTTTGAAAATTCATTGCTACCGGTTTCGGTGGAACCTTTGATACTACATTTCTACGATATTCCCAAAAATCAATTCATTGAAGCGTTAGTTACCAATATGAAAATGGGACAATAGAAAGACAACTATTGCATTATATAGAGTGCACTTTTATAATTTAGGTTTTTTATTTCAGATATCTTTACGTTATATCATAGAGTACATGGTAAAAAGTAAAGACAAAATAAATGTCATGGAGTACTTGCAAAAATAAATAGACTATTTCTAGAGGTTCGTCATTGCAGCAAATCTGTGCTAAACTGGTATGCTTCGCCCTCAGTACTTTGAAACTTCAAAATAAACGGTGTATTAAAATCTTAACATACAAAGAAAATTATGTCTAACTAAAACGTAAATACACTTAACAATAATATCATCGTTTATATCCAGGTACTATTACGCTATATAAATTTTAATGTGACCTAATTAGATCATTATGTATATTATGTACTATCCTATCTTATCCTCTCGATAATAGAGATTAACTGATAAGATATACGTACATATCCAGTGGGATTCAAGACTATTCTATCGATACCTCAGTTATCAAATTATGGTAACTAGTTTAGAGGTCAGAAGGAAACAAATCAAGACAACATTAATATACCGATCAAATCAATAAACTTCATTAAATGCCTAAAATTTTTAAGTCAAGAATACCATCCTTCTACTTTATCTTTCTACGTTACAAAACATAATTAAGGTATCTTTAGTGAAGATAAAAAAAAAAGATATAAATAATAAATTATGTAACATCCATTTTCTCTCATCATATTTATTTATATCCATCGTGAGGATTTTTTAAATATTTTTTCATTGAGTCTTTAAACTATATGATCTACCATACATTTTTTTTATTTCTTAAATCACGTATATTCAGTGACATTTAATGAAAAAATCGCATCTTATTTTGCGCTAATATTAAGCACGTAAATATTTATCGATCTAAAACAGAATACCTACATACGAGGGTCAAACTGAAAGTTCTTAGAAAATCAAAAACTGATTACATTAGCCAGTTATTAGTTTTATTATATCTTTTCAAAATATTGTCCATTCACGTCAATACACCGCTGCATGCGATGGAACCACTGGGAAAAGCACTTTGCCCACTCGTCCTTAGGGGTCTCTTCAATGGCATCGCGATACGCAGCCACCGCTTCTTCAGCATTCATAAACCGCTTTCCTTTAAGTTTTTCTTTAATTTTTGGAAATAAATAAAAATCACAAGGCGCGAGGTCGGGGCTATACGGCGGGTGACCCAGTAATTCAACGTTTGATGTCGCCAAATAGTCGATCGTTCGCTTGGCGGTGTGCGACGAGGCGTTGTCGTGGTGAAGGAGGATCCTACTGCGAGGTCGTTTCTCTCGAACTTTTTCCAAGACAAGTGGCAAACAATTGGTAGTGTACCATTCTGCAGAAACTGTTTTTTGATCCTCTAACACAATTGTTGCAAAATGACCTATCCTTCCAAAGAACGAGGCCACCATTTTTTTTCCCGCACTTCGATCTCTCTTCACTTTAGTTGGCAACTCCTCGAAAGGAAACACCCACTGAGCAGATTGTCTTTTGGTTTTAGGATCATAACAGTAAATCCAGCTTTCGTCACCTGTTAGTATGTCGAACACAGCATTTGAGTCACCTCCGTTAAATCTTTCAATCATTTTACGACACCAATCCACACGATGGAGTTTTTGAGCCTCAGTCAAATTATGAGGTATCCACCGGGCGCAAAGCTTCCTGACCGCTAAATGTTCGTGGAGGATTTTGTGCACTTGACTCATACCGATGCCTAAGCTTGTCCGAATCTGTTGATAGGTCACTCTTTTGTCAGTCTCTATCATACGCCGCACAACACAGATGTTATCTTCAGTCGTCGCCGTAGAAGGCCGTCCCTCACGTAAATCATCAGTGAGATTAGTGCGACCACGTTTAAACTCATTAAACCAGTTGTAAACAGTCGCACGAGATGGGGCTTCATTGTGAAAGGCCAATCGTAGTCTATCATAACTTTCTTGTTGACTTAAATGACATCGAAAGTCATAAAAAATCATTGCACGAAAATTTTCTCGTGTTAAATTCATGATGACGTGACACAGACAATTTTCAATTTGCCGCCAAATCGTAAAACAAATGACAAATGAATGAAATATATACTCAGTAATATTGGCAAAGAGTTATATTTTCAAATTTTAGAATTATTTTTTTATTATATTGTTTATAAGTGGCCAGTTCTAAGAACTTTCAGTTTGACCCTCGTAAAATAAGATTTCCAATTTCTTTATTTACTACCTTTGCCAGCGGTTTCGCCTACGTGATCCCTAGTGAAATGTTTAGTGGGATAAAATGTATCCTATTATCTAATTCAGCTAATACCCTATCTGTATACCAAATTTCATCAAAATCCGTTCAGTAGTTTCGACACGATTGACGGACAAACATCCAAACAAAGAAACTTTCACATTTATAATATTAAAAGGATATGTGCTCGATGCGAATTCGTTTCTCATTTCATGATTAAGATAAAATCAATAACATGTCTGGTTATCAAAAACTGTCAAATATCTCTACTTGATTTTAAACCGTAATACATTGCTGTTATAGATTAATTTTAATTGTAGAAATTTGGCATATTATGGTAACCTGACTTGCAGCCGTGTGTAAAAAGTATCCTAATCTTTTACGCGAACACCCATCGAGATTTATTGAATCTCGTTGTCATATTAGACGATAAAGATTTAACACATCACAAAATAATTTATTCACATCTTGCACAACAAAACATGTCATTTTGAAAGTAGAACCAATGTTACGCCATTGTTCTTCTTCGAAACTAAAAGACGAGCCACGTCGAGGTATTTATCTAAAATGTTAAATCCGATTAAATCTAACTTAAATTCAGGTCACGTTTTCAATGAAGTCGCCAAGTACACTGTTCAAAAATTTAGTTCACGTACCTACTACATTATTCTTAATCTAATAAAGATAACTAAACTACATGAAACCCTACTTTACGTTTTTAAATTAGTCCGTCTATTTCAAAAAGTCAAGGTCAGTGTTAATTACTCGATACAAACTTTATATTTGTCTCACAGATACGGGTCATTCTTTATACCTCAAAACCCTTATTAGAAACTGCTCGAAGATAAATCGGAAATTTTCAAAATATAAACTGACGAAAAGCTTTGGATACTCCCTAACTATGAAAGTTATTTTAATATATGTAAAAAAAGTATATTTTAACAGAGTTGCCATTAGAATCTTATGTGACTTTCACTTATTATTTATTTTTTATCTTAACTCGATGTCTGTTTTATATCTTGTGCTTTTATACGTTTTGTTATATATTTTTCTGCTGCTAAGTTATCACTTTTATTAAACTACATTCCACTGCTCCTGCTGTTGGTATAAATTAATAAAAAAAAAGTTCCATTGACTGTATTATAAGTTTTTTTTTATCTAAGACATTTTTCAGATGATTCGAATCTTTTACATGCTACGTGTTCAGTAGACAAAAGTAATAGTAACACGAAATCTGTAAAGAATCTTAAAATTCTGAATAATGTAACAGTTTTCCAAAAATACATGCGATAAAACCGTTAAAATTACTTATTGTTATTTAGTGACACTAATTTAATTTCTGATTACCAAGTCCCGTATAAAAAGTTAATACAAATTGTTCTGATAAATACAATCCGTAGGCATATCACGAAACAATGAGCCATAGAATTTCTCCCATTTTATCCAACTTTGTAATTAATACAAAACAAAATCAGTTTTAAATTCTATGAATGTTTCTATTGATAATACTCGCAGATGTTTCTTTATAAATTTTTTCGAAATCTCGATACAATCCTTTCACTTTTAACAAATATATAAACTTTGACAGATAAAAATTGTTATATTGTGAAGTAAAAAAAAATATCAAATACCCATCGCCTTGCCAAAATCAAGTTTTACGACTTTGTGAAAGCTGTACGTTATTGGCTTAGTATAAAGAGTTCTGGAGTCGATGGCGTAGTGGATCGTTGTTATCTCGAGCTACTCCGTTCTTCAGAAGGTATATTAAGCCGTTGCTCTCGGCTGCATTTGCAGTCGTTAATACCCTCCATTCCGCATTGAGCGAACGTGGTAGGTCCCATCTTCCTCAACCATTCATAAAGAAGGCTTGGGCCCCTGCAATGGGAACGTAAAAGGGCTGATGATGAAAGAGTTATTGCATTCATAAACTTACTTGTGGCGATCGGTCCACATCTCGCTTCAGCTTTGAATGTACAGAACTTACTAATGTCGTCAAAATATAATCCGGAAGGGCATCTATTCAGATATGGATACCCATCGACGCACTGAAAGAGAAATCATAATGTTAGATTCGACACCGAACTTAAACAAATATTTTAAACGTAAATATAAAAATATTATTACGCATATCACATAACGTATTGATGAATAAACTTGATTAGTACATTATAGGTAACAGGTAAAACAAGTTATATATCTTTGTATAATGTGAATCATTTGTGATTTTAGTACACACGACATCAGATAAACACAATACGTAAAATTTTCGCCTTTGATTTTATACTCTACGCTCAATGTAATAAGGTTTCAAATAAGATAGAGAAATTGAGAGCTTTATATAACTAACAGCTGTTGACTGTACATAGTTTATTCATAGACATCTTATTTTTCTCCTGTAATAACAAACAGTTTTAATATGACAATGTAATGTTCACATGTAAGACACAATGTAGGTTTAATTTGAAAATCTTCTTTGCCAATATTTATAATAATGTCAGATAAATAAAAATCGGTAGCGCATGCGAAATCAGCCGAATAAAATAATACAGAAATACATTTAGATTTTAGTATTAAAATCAATGTCATCATAATGATAATTTAAAAAAAAACAGCAATATAATTAACACATAATTTGAACGGGCCGTAAGGAAACATTATTAGTATTTTTAGGATCATTATTAGTCATCCATATGTGTACAATATGTAGGACACGTTGCACTACAAATTGAACACAACCGGTAAATAGAAAACTCCTTTATTTTCATTATTTATTGATTTTAAAAAAGTATATTTAGGTATGAAAACTTTTTCAATTGTAGCCAGTAAAATGTAGCAGAAACTATTTGTGTTTGTAAATGTCTTTACTTTTGTTAGAGCTGCTGAGTCTCTTTTGCTCGTTTTTCTTATCAGTTTAAAGATAATATGCTAATTAAAAAAATTGAATGACTCAAAAGTACTTTTCATGAGTTTATTTGAATCTATGACTTTGCCTGGAATTCATTACTACAATTAAATCCATTAGTCATCTCCAAAGGAAAGAAACTTTATAATCGGTGAAAAAAATAGACATAAAACTACAGTCGTAAAAACAAATCTATTAAGCTGAAACGACGTTAGTTCTAAATAAACTGAATTGTTTTCTTAGCGTTCGGCTTAGGTAACCGCCTAATATGTTACAGATAAATTTTAGTATCGGGTTCAACTGATCTAATTCAAAATTATTCATCTATGATAAATACTGTTGACGTAATAGAATATTGTTACGATTTAGTTGAACTTTGTTGCTTCCGTTAATTGATCTAAATCACATATTACTTGTTAGTCTCTAATTACTAATATAAGACAACATCATATACATTGCTCAAATCCCAAACTAACTAGCTAAAGCCGTTATGTTACAATGAAACAACGTAGATGCCTTAATACCCAGATCTGAGATGAAATAGAAAAGTATATTTTCTACGTTACCCCAACCGAGAATCGGGACCTTCGAAATCGAAACGGACGTACAAGCCATGGAGGTTGTCATATTGTGTACTAATAAATTCAAAAGTATGTGAGTATGTTTGTTGCTCTTTAAAGCAAAAATTACTAAACGGATTTTGATGAAATTTGGTATACGGATAATTCTTACAATGGATTAACTTAAAGACTGTTTATCCTTTCTTTGTTATTCCTTTCCTTAGGGATACTTGAGAGAAACTGCTGACGCTAGTTGCATATAAATAATATTAATCACAGATAATAATTTATTTCATAGGAGCAACAAAATTACAATATTGTAAATTCAAAGTACAAAGTACATCGACGTGCAACAGATTCTTAGGCATAAAAAAAAACTTTTGAATTTAGAATACAGTGTAGCTATTAAATGTTTGCAAGTTATCAGCGATGGTTATGGACTTATTTGATATATCTGTGCATCCGCTGCAATGAGCGTTTCGGACGAGTATCTCTTATTGATCTGGCTTTCGATGGGTTATAATAAGTCAAGTACTATAACATGTAGATATTACTATTTTGCAGTCCTACTTTACAAACTTTTCTACTATGCCACATTTCAATTACATTCGTATCTGCGCCAATCTTCAATCAATAGACCATCTTCTATACTTCTTCTATATTTACTTCTATATTTAATCTATACTAATATAATAAAGAGGACCGATTTGATTTTTTGTTTTTATGTTAGTAGGCTCCGAAACTACTGATTTAAAATAACATCTACATCATATTGGGTTCACATACACTAAATTTTATGTATGCAAAGTCGCGGGAAAACAGCTAGTATTATTATAAAGTAGAAAAATTAATTGTTTGTTTGCAGCGAATAGGTTCCGAAATTAACTAGACCTATTTTGAAAATCCTAACACCTACGTGAAGTACATTATATGCGGTGACATATATATTATGTTTTATCCCGAAAAACGGCAAACAAAGGGATGAAAGTGGGACTGGAAGTTTGTATATGATATTTAAAAGGTTACCATTGTAACCATTGTTTAATAATTAATAAGTCATTATAATTATATTCGTGTCATGATATAAATCGATATCCAAATTAATAACGAAACTATTTAAGCTATTTACATAATAGTAAATAATCTTACTAATATTATAAAAACGAAAGTTTGTTAGTTTGTATGATAAGATGTCTCTTACTTCTTCACGCAAAAACTACTGAACGGATTTTGATGGAATTTGGTATCCGAATAATTCTAAGACTAAATAAATATATAAGACACTTTTTATCTCGCTAAACAGTTAACTAGACACACGCGAGCGCAGCCATTGGCAGAAAACTAGTATATTATAAAGAGAAAAGAATCGATCATTTGTTTACATCGAATAGACTTCCAAACTACTGAACCGATTTTCTATATGCATTTACCTATAGGTAACTACAGCATACGTGAGTAACATAGGCCAGCAGACGAAGTCGCTGGGAATCAGCTAAAATAATATAAGTATCAAGGCTAACATCAGCAAAAACTGATTTCTGAGAATTCCTATTCGCTTGGAATAATAAGTAGTACTATGAAATATAATATGACAAAATAACTTAAAAATATATTAGCGCTTTTTACTTTTAATTGCTTTCAAAACAATTTTAGTATTGAGATTATTTATAATGATAAAAATATATATAACAATAAGGACTAGACGAATAAAGTCTTTCTATTAAAGACTTTCAAAGCTATTATAATATCCACCCATACAAAACTTTCATTATTTATCTGGCCTATGATTTATCTCAAAGAAGCCCTTTTGTTAGGCAATTAATTATACGCCCAAATTTAATTAAGAGCTCTTCAAGATTAAAATTGTACATACAAACGCTGTAATATAATTTGCTTTTATTATAATAAATTTATTTATATAAAATTATTCATCTGATTTCAAAATAAAATGAAATAGATATCCCAATGGTAAAACAAATATCCAGAAGAAAACAGAAAGAGAGGCAACTACTTATATTGCTATAGAAAAAAAAATTTTAGAGCTTACTTTCCAAAAAATGGGCTAGTAGAACCCCTCGTCTGCATAAGAAAGAATATTATTCTCACTTTAATTAGCGTTGCTAGAGAATATAATGCTATTTTTATCGTGTGCGTGAAGGTTGCCACGGAATTATATATTTTACGTCCTGATATGCTTAATATTTGCAAAAGTCGTATCTCATTGGATTCTATAGTATCAATCCCATTTGTGCAATGCTTCATATAATGCATATAATAATGTAAAACTCAATAGAAGAAGGTGGAGAACTTTTTAACTTTCTAGAATCTTATAATTAATTGACCTAACTCTAAATTATTGCTGTGTAATCATATCAAAGATAAGATCAAATGTCATTAACTATCGAGAAAGCAGCAAGTAAATTAGTTATAATCAATAACCTTTTCGATCGTGAAAACCGATAGATTTAACTTAATATACTCTATCTAACATGTAGAGTTAGATAGAGTCGAATATGTTGAATATTAATAAACTATTTTGTACAATATACGTTAAAAGGGAGCCGGAGTCGTGCCCTCCGCACCAATATTAAATAAATAAAAAATAAGCGTCATGAAAACTAAATAGAATATGTTTTGAAATCACATTAAGTCCTTTCATATGACACATTATTTGAATTAGTAGCTTGATTTAAAACGTTTATATACTATAAAATTACATTTTTTATGATTTCATTACTAATTTATCAATAACAGATTTTTCCTTGAACTTGTACTGAAATTTCATAGTTCTAGATCTATTAATCTATTTTTTTTTTATTCCCTTGACAATGTCAAATTGTATTTATGTTTACGGCGTGAATGGCCAGGACTTTTTAACATGTTAATTTAAAAGCGTAATTTCTTCACAGTTTCAAGAAACTTTCCAGTTCAATTGGATATCTCTTGACTTTCTTGATAGTAAAAAGTCTTGACAGATAGACAGATGGATAAAAGAGTGATATGATTGGTTTTTTTTTCAAATGTTTTTTATAAGATTTTGTTGAAGTTAAGGTATTTTATATGACTTTACCTATATTATTCAAATATAAGTTTCAAAATAACTTAAATTCTAATCTTGATGATTATCACGAAAAAAAAGTATTTTGCATATTGATTTCTTATATTTTCAAGCCCTACTATCCATAAATGAAACAACTTTTAAACGGTTTCATCGCGTTTGTATTAAGCTTAATTAAAGTTTCGGACCCTTTCGAATTGTATTTTCATATTACATATGAAAATACAATTCGAAAGGGTTTTCGGACCTCATACTAACGTTACTAAATTTGCTATATAACGTGCTTACAACATACCGTGCAACTACTAAATTACGTAAGCAACTAGTAAATACCACTTGATTAGTCCGCCAGCAAATATACGGATTTCCCACTATTTCATACAGAACAACAAATACATAAACAAAAATATTGAAAAATCTACCGTACATATAGGCGCTTATGGTCGTTTCTTCTAGCCTTTTACCCTGCACTCTCTTGACGCCCTAGCAACAGATTATCGAAACTTGTGATTCCGTGTCGATTGATATGCGTCAATTTGATTTACGTAGATATGTAGTTTATAATATTTTTGTCATGAACAACTCAGATGTACCCAATACATGATACTCTTTAATTAAAATCAATAATGCTGCGACGACAAATATATATAATTATACTGAAGCATATTTAAATATGCCATCAAATGTTCTTCGTTTGAAACTGCTCTAAGCGGCACTAGACCTAATATTGGAACGCCTTGATATAAAGAAACTAATATGTACTACGGCAGAAGTACATCATAGAGTACTTTTCCTCTATACTCAAATAAAACACTCTTATACCATCAGAGTCCAAATAATAATTTTCGTAATTCCAACTATCTTACAAAGAACCGGTTGACCTAGAAATATGTCAACAATATTCATTAATTTGGATCCGCGGTATACTACATTAAAAATTAAGATTCAATGCCGTACGTACTATTTTATTTATAAGAAAATCGGTTGATTTCAAGGTCTTTACATTAGGTAGTGAAACTACACGACCTTATTACAATAACGACAGCTTCCTCCAACGAGATCTATTCCTACGTCTACCTCATTATATATTGATACTAAATAATATTGAATCCCTTAAAAAAACTTTACAATGTTTCTAATACTAATAAATGAGACAATATTAAGATTTATATTAAAATAAATCTTAATTTTATTCTCCCCAGTTGTAAACGAAACATCTTAATTTTAAAATTCATAAATTCCAGATTTCTTACAACAATATATTTACATAAGACTGTTGTTGATAGGGAAAGGAAATAACATTTTATATACATATCGTGTCAAATCTCGGTAGTGTTACCTTCGTTGTCTCAGATACTCTTTAATACGGGGGCTTTAGCTACTTATTTTGGAATCTGAACAATGTACACGATGTTGTCTTTTTTATTATTTTCCGTTAATCAATACGAAGGTACTTATTATAATTACTGATTAATTACTAGATTGCTATAAGCTTCTTAGTGTAATCTTATTAGACAAGACAGTAAGATTTTTCTTCAGAACATCTCTTTTTTAAGAGTATTTTTCTTCTAACAATCTTTTTAAAGTCATTAGCGAAGAATTACATTAAAATACTTATCAAAAAATTTAATAAGAAAATTCTTAACGCAAAGGTCAATAACAAACTGCTAAGTAAATAGACGGAATGTTAATAAATAGATGAAGATATCCAAAGCATTTAAAGATATTGAAGGGTAATGGACCGTACTTGATAGAAGCGTCTGCAAGTTGCCGGGTCTGCGAAATTGCCGTTGCCCTGCGTGCCTTCCGGGCAAACAAACTCTGGAGCATCCTTATCCTGCTGCTGACACCTCACTGGAAATAATTAAGTTATAACAAGGATATAAGACGAATAATACAATGATGCAAATGTATTCGCAGCTTTATTTATTATTGTCATGATGAATGCCGAAAAAATGTCTTTTTTTTCATACGAATCCACGATCGATCTTTGTTTACATAACTAGGTCATTTATTCGGCAATTGTAATTTATTATATTGGATTTATGGCATAAAATAACATAATGCACACCATAATTTTCCCACTGCTGGGGCAATATCTGAGGCTGTAAATGAAATGAAAAATATAAATGGAGAAAACAATAAATAAATATAACAGTTAAAAATATTATTTACCATTCGAAAATGAAAATAAATACACACAGTGTCATTAAGAACTAACGTTAGTGTAATTATGGAAAGTCAGTAGCACTTCATCAACAACCTGTTAAACAGTTGTTGTTACTAGATCACAAAATTATAAATACATCTATCACCCTAGATTTCGCGAAAACATTGCACTAATAATGTTTGAGTTCAGGCAAAATGCAAGTTGTTGAAACTATTGAGATGAGATTGTTACGTAAAAAATAACAAAATTGAGGCCCTGACCGCGTGTCAAAAGCCTCTATAAACCAAACAAAAACAATCAGGTTCATATTTTTATTATATTTACCCCTGCTTCTTCAAAATTTCGATATAATTTAATTTATTTGGTGTGCATGTTTACTTGTACCTTTACTTGTACATTAGTACACACATGTTATTGGCTCTTAGTGGGATTATTGACAGTTCAGGACAACCGACAGCATCACAAACAAATATTTGCGAGAAAAGTTACATCAGAGTTCTCATGTTACTTCTTTAAAAGGAGAATGTAATTTTTTTTTTAATAATCTCAAATATGACCTACGTGAGAAGTTTTCCCTATAATATAATAAGATTCAATTAGCACATTCCAAAACCTTAAGTTACAGTTAATCCTTTATGTACTAATTGAAATAGATATAAAAGCAGGTAAACTTTTTTGTCTTTGTCTATGGTAGTCAGAAATAAATAAATAATACACTGAGTAATTCGATTTTTTTCTAATAATATAATAACAATTTTAGTATACTATGTATAATAATTGTATGTGTCTATTGATCAGTGAAGTATGGTAATGATAGCATTTAAATTTTGCTAAATAAATGCAATTAATAATTTAATAAATATTTGACTAAATTTAAATTAATAGTTTATAAATATATTATTCTGAATACAAAATTCACAAATGATAAATAAATTAAATTAAATACAAAATTCTGTAACAGGATCCCTTCACGTTAAAATTATTATAATAATAAATTAATACGTGTCCTATATCTAGTATTACTAGCACTAATTATTATTAGTTGGTGGTAATACTTTTAACCATTGTAAGATGACCAATATGTCAAGCTAGTGAACACGTAACCTGTAAATGATTCCAATACTCGCAACCAATTTATTTTATTTATTGAGCAAAGTTTGAACCCACTACAGTTTTTTTTTTTATTCACGAATAAAAACTAGAAACTACCCAATATATTAGTAGTAACAACTTTCAAATATATCAAATATTTATGTTTCGTACGTCGTCGTTAATTATTAGTACCAGTATAACCAATGGGACAACAGTTATTCATATGTCCTCCAGCATTTGAAAAATCATGATGAAACTCGAATTACATTATAAAACTAGTTCTTTTGGAATACATAATTTTCTAACACCTTATTCATTATTATTTTTGTAACTGTGCTATGATAGAAAAGTTGGTAAATCTTGAGATTTTCCTGTTAACCCTAAGATGTAGATGTTCATAAACAAATACAAACAATCAACGCGGAAATGCATTTTTCTGTGAAATAAATAATGTTACTGGTAATCAATATTATGTTAGTATGACATTCAGATAAAATAACTTATAATTGCAATGGTACATTTTTTATTACGATTAAGATTCATTCTGATAAAGATCCAATCGTCAAATTAAAATAATGTTTGCTATTGAGGTAGTTATTGAAATTTAAGATTAAGAAATACTAATTATTTTATTATAGCCTATGTTACCGGCGTATGCTGTAGCTACCCGTAAGTGAAAGAATTTTCAAAATCGATCCAGTAGTTTTGGAGCCTATTCACTGCGAATAAACTAAGAAATAATAAAATTTTTCCTCTTAATATTAGTATAGTCATTGGCCAAACGTAACATGTTCTTAATCTATACATTAAAGGACAGAGCGTCTACTTTTTTTACATAATTCATACATTTACCAAATCATGTTGGTAAATCCCAAGATTTACTAGTAAAACCTAATATTTACCAACATACGAGCTTTTACAGTAACATAGATTCACCTTCATTCATAGTAAGTGAAAATATATTGAAATATTCTCCCTATTTCTCTTCAATCAGGAATGATTCATGGTTCGACCCGTTATTCCAAACTCGTTACCAACGAAAAGGAAGTCACGATCTTCCTCGTATGTATAGTATAATGACATAATCATAATGTTCAATAACCTGTCTGGTAAATGTCAAAAATAAAATCCGAAACGATTGGTCAAATCATAGATTCTTCAATGTTATTGCATAATGGAACAAAGAAATGGAACATTTGAATTATTTTATTGACAACATTAATTACATTAGGCAGAAAAACAGGATGATGTATTGAATAAAAAAATACCAAGTTATACTATTTAATATTTGTTCATAAACCATTATAATAATTATACAATCTCTCGTCTTGTTCTTGACTACAAACAAAGTTATCTATAAATTTTGATTATAGAAATATTAGGTACAAGAATTTCAATATAGCGTGTTAGGGGTGACTTTGCAATTAACTATTTTCAGCAAGCTTTTATAATATTATTCAAATTAAATGTTTCATTTTAAAATTGTGTAGTAGCTAAATTGTATTTAGTTACACAGAAATGCATTAAACTGTATCTAATTACGCGTATTTACAAGCTATTTACAGCTTATATTATTCATGTTTTATTCATATCGAATATTGGATCTTGTTATTTGTACAAATAAAATAAAAAAGTGTCTTTTTGTAATGTTAATAAAACCGCTTTTACTAAATACATATGTATTTTTGTATATGTACTATACAAAAATAACATTTTTTTTATTTCTTGTTTGTCTGTCTTTTAGTTCGTGTCAATCTCTGAAAGGGCTGGATCGACTTTGACGGGACCTTCACTGACAAATAGCGTTATAAGCGGTAACTTAGGCTACTTTCCACATGGACGATGTCGCGAGCGCAACTAGTATATACTAATATCAAAAAGAGGTAATTTATATTATATTTTGCACTGAATTATGCTCCAAAAATACTGAACGGTTCTGCGGGTTATATAGGCTATAATTTACATAGACGAAGACACCAGAAAACAGCTAGTTCCGTTGTGAAAATAGAATAGATAACCATTAATATTTCAAATTCTATTACAATAACATCGCAAACCAATATGACAATTGTCGCTATAAATATTATATAAATTAAATAGGATTAAGTCACTATATGCGATTTCTGATATTTTGAAAGAGGAAATAAATCAGACTACAATTAGATCTGTTGCCTCTTATGGATCGGATTTTGGGCGGTGAAGTGAATGGACGAAATACGGTTGTAGGTATATGTATGAAATGCGTTATGTTAATACAGGTGTGTGGAATAATGAGAACTGCAAAGTGGAGAACTCTTTACATATGTCAGCAAGATTGAAAGTGACCAGTGATATCAAAATAGAGAGGTAATAGACTTTTTTGGTAAGACCTGGGAAGAGATATTTTGTGTGTACTAAAAAGCAAGACGAATGTAAAATAAAACCGAAAAACAGAGACAGGATATTCTGTGCGAAATATTTTAATACATAATAAATAGTGAATCAGATAATTCATTAAAAGGTATGGATGAAGAAACCACATTGCTTTGACCCCAAAGATGTTATTTTCGTATAAGTACGTACTTACTGATGTATAAAGGGTATCAAAATAGCTTATATATATTATATGTGAATCCAGTTGACAGTGACTCGTTTTTCACAAGAGATAAATCAACATGCCATGTAATTACATACATTATTTATCATTATAGAAAAAAAAATCTTAATTGTCATCGTTACCTTCCAAAGTTCCCATTATTGTGAAGTTATAACCGCCAATTCCAAGGCCTTTATTCGAAAGCACATTATATTAGTGACAAATGACTTGAACGCGTATAGAAAGAAAATCGATTTTTTTATTCTAATAATATGTATGTCTAATAACTTCACTGTTTATTCGATACGTTCACGCATGTTGAGGTTGAGTCAGTATGTTCATCCTTAAATTTTATTATGTAATTATTAAAGTTACATTGTGAACATTTAATAATTACATTTAATTACGTAAATGCAACTTTTTTATTAATTATGTTTACGTATTGTTCCATTTGTTCTTATCACGTCTAAATCTATTTTAAAGATTGAGATTGGGTACATACTTAAATTGAGATTGGGTACATACTTAAATTTTATCATGTACCTAAATAGGTTTTACTCGCATCTTCGTACATGTGGTATAATTGTGTAGCATTTCCAAAAACGCTAAAACAAATATTAATTCATTCAGTCATGTAAAATACCTGAATACAAAGTTTCATGATTTATTTAAACTTTAATTCTTTTATCACAATAAAAAGTAACCAATGTCCCATTTCAAGTCAACTCGGTTATGTGGTTTAGGCGTAAGAGAGTAACAGACATATACACAGATTTTCTTTAGTACGTATAATATTAGTATGGAATAATTTAGCGATTCTCTTGTTGACTGACAAATGAATAGACTAAGAACAATATAAATCATATTCGCATGGTCGACGTTTCAACTCAGAGTGGTTCTTTTTTCGAGTTTAAACTAAGGAGTTTTTGTGTTAACTAATAACGAATAAAACATTGAGGTTAATATATAATGTATATGTCATCCATTCCCATTTTCATCCCCTTTAAGTGCTGATTTACGGGATTAAAAATAGCCTATTTACCTTCCCAGTGTCTATCAGTTTTCATCGATATAGTTCCAAAAACAAATAAGTTTCATACAAACGTTTTCACTCTTTTTAACCCCCTTCGGGGTGAAATTTACAAAAACCCATTCTTAGTACCTGCACTTTTACGTAATAAAAGGAATGTCCTATCCTAATTTCGACGCCCAGCATCAGTATGTCAGAACATCTCCTTTTATATATGTATAGATAGATAGATGATATGAGTATAGATTATTCATTTTAGTTTAATTACTACTTATAGTTATGTAAGTTGCACTTTGAATTTTTTTACTGATAATTCTTTCATAAATTTAAAATAATTTAGTTAGGCAACTTAAAGATTTTAAATTGATTACTTATTTCGACATAATAACTGTTCATCTCGGTTTTTTATTAACTATTGGTGGATATAGTATGTCCTATGTAGGTATTGTCAAATTTAATGTCTATTTTATAATTGTAATATTATAAATTTGCCTTCTCCGTGTAGATATTGGGTAGTTAAGTATTTATTTTACTTTTGTTTTAATCTTAAAAACAGGTAGTCAAGACAAATATCCTCAGCTACACCAACCGGTCATACACCTTCAATGTCAAGTGAAGGAAAAGGAGGTGCGCGTAGAATTGCAATTAGGTGCTTAATTTTCAAATCACGAATCGAGCTTTCTAATTATACGTGTAAACAATTATACAAAGTATAAAAAAAAACACCAAGAATACGCTGCGTACTTTTCTCACACTTTCACATTTAGCAGCATTATATATATCTAAGTATCTGTCAAAATAAAATCTAACATGCGAATAGCTTTCACTATTATTTTGCGGTAACAGTTACGTTAACGAATTTGATCGGCGCATATTGCTTGCATAAGATTATGAATTACTCGTTTGTTACATTACGATAATTCACGAACATGAATTAAAATATAAAGATACACTTTTTTCGTAATATAAAAAAAAAATTGATTTTTCAACTGACCGTTTCCTAGAATGGCACATATGAGTAGTATCGGCGTATAAGGTAAGCCGGCCATGGTTGGCGCACTGTTCACTCGTACACGCGACATAGCACCTTTCACCGCCGCGAACGCACTGCCGATACGACTCCGGCGCACCAAACATTACCCGCGACCAGACCACCGCCGGCCGACCTCCACTGACGGCTTTCTCCTCAGATCCCCTGACACTGGATACATCTTGCTAGACTTCATTGACAATGGGTACGCCTAACAATATAAAACAACAATTACCATGTCCAATCTTCAAGGACACAGGACAGTCAATAGTTGGGTACTAACTTATCGGAATATTAGACTTCTTTTTTATATTTAATTTACATATTGTTTTTATTATTAGCACTGTATATTAAACTGACCAGTTAACAATTTTGCAAATTAAGACGAAACTTTTCTCAAAATTTTTACAGAAAATTAAACGAAAAAAAACAAGTGAACGGAGATCCAGCATAAATAATAAAATACTAATTTCCAAAAGAATATTGTATGAAATAGAAAAGGGATAAGTATAGAAATAGACATTCATAACGTTGGTAGAACAATTCAATATCACAGAATAAAGAATATTTCTGATTTCAATACACTACATAAAGCCTTCATAAGAGACATTTGAGCAATATTAAGCACTGAAATAATGAAATCCTATTCCTATAGTCTAGATAATACTATCATATTTCATTCCCAAGTACATCACACCGTAGGGGCTTTGGTGGTATACCTCCGGTATCATAGAAAAGTCTCACACACCCCGTTGTTCGCCAGGCATTACGGATTGTGCTTCCGGCATTTCCCCGATGGATAAAAAAAAAGATAAAACTACTAAATACCTTTTGAAGCTTTTATTTTTACAATATGGGATAGTCTAGGTATACTAATATTGTAAAGATAGGATCCGTAACTACTGCACCTATTACCAATTTTAAAATTATTTAACCAACAGGATACTATATTAAAGGCGACATAGCTTAAATTTACGCGGGAAAAGGGGGAAAATAGCTGTAACATAATATAGGGGAACAATATTTACCATCCAAAAAGTATGGTCATCGTGACCCCTACCTGTCCGAGTATGGATTGCAATCCTGGGTCATAAAGGCACTGCTTTAGGGAATAGGATCGGCCCTCGTCAGTGCGAAATTTAGTGCATACGGCGATATGGGCCGCCACCCGTTAAGCAAAACTCGTCGGGATGACAACGTGGAATGTGAGAGGTGGATTGAGAGATAAGATGAAGGACCACTACTTGATAGTGAGCTGGTTTAGGAGTCATAGCCAGAACTACAGATTAGGGATTGTGTATCTCTCGAAGATCATGAAAAGACATTCTTTTTAGTATATTTCCGATATGCAAAAGTGTTAAAACGGTGGAGAAAATATTTTGAGGTAATATATGAGAATACTTGGAACGTTGACCGAGTCCGAGTGGTAAAAATCCTGAAAAAGAAAAAACAGCGGGATTAAAGAGAAATATAGGTAACGCTTTCTGGTAACTATGCAATCTTCGCGGGAATTCGGAAAGGTTCGGACCTTTTTGCCCTCATACAAAGAGAATGGGTCACGTATGGACTGTACCAACTACAGAGCCATAATTTTGATCAATTTAGAAGCCAAAGTCTATGACTACTCGAAAGAAGAATGATGGTGAAATCCAGTAGAACGCTGTAGGAGGCACATGGAGGTTCAGAAATTAATAAACACACGCCTAATATTGTTTTTTTTTTTTTTCAAATACCTACCAACGTGTATTACTATTATTATGAATAACAAAGTAATTCAGGACGTACAATGGAAATAGAAATAGTGGCGGTGCAACACTATAAACTGCGCCGAAAGCACTTTATTTATTAGGTACGTAAGATGATTTTAGAACATGGCTATACCCACGGTAAGGTAAGGTGGGATACTCGCTCACCCTCAAGCCTAAATTTTGTTACTTTATGTACGAATATTAAGGCTTAATACATAAAGTAACAAAATTTAACATCTAAAGGTACATAGTATAAAAAAGTCGCTGTCGAATTTTAAAGTAATTTTCATCAATATATAGTGATTCAAGTGAAAAAAATTTATGTATTTTTACAAAACCAAAAGGGCAAAGTCACTAGCGGAAACTCGTCGATTTAAAAAAAGGTGAACAACGATAAAAATCATTTGAAAATAAATATTATATATTGAGTTACTTTACAAAATTAAAAAAAACGCGATATAAATTAAAACTTTTTATTTATAAATAGAAGCAGTATCTTAACTTAATACTAATCGATCTATAACTTCTGAATCGGAAAAAATCAAAATCCGTATCGATTCAAATCGAATATAATAAATCAGGACCGAAATAAAGTCAAATATGACTTTTCTAAATATCAATAAAAGAGTTAAATCCACACTTTTTATTTACAAGTAGGTACTCAAAAGCTGGGTACCTACTTATAACTAAAATCCATTAACTGTTTTTAACGATTGGTTTTATACTAAAACGGTCAAACACAAAGAAGCTTTCATTGAAAATGAAAAAACTAAATTATTTTTCTCACATATAATTCAGTAATATTATTAATATAGTATAATCATTCAGTAACATAAAATTATAATAATTCACAAAAGAAAATTACTGTATTTTTTGTAAATCATTTTATTTCATATCTTTCCGTAATTATTTTTATGGGCCAATATTCCAATTTTTAGAGATGCGCCGAATATTCGGTATTCGGCGCATGTATTCAGCAACTTTACCACTATTCGTATTCGGCCCAATTATTCGGTTTAAGTACTTGTTTTTTGAACTAAAGGCAAAACTTCTTATAAAAAATTAATGTTACAATATAAAGAAACCCTATGAACAGTGGCGTAGCTAGGTAATCTAGGGCCCTGGGGCAAATAAAAAAATGGGGCCCACTGCTATCAAATATAAGCTTATCATCAGCTCTTTTTCGTGCATAGGCAGGTAATAAAACTATTAAACACTAACAACATAAATTACAATTATTTTTATACTTGGTGTAGGTATTAGGCAATAAAACGAAATAGAAAAGATTCAAGGGTTTATTATATATTTATCTAATCATAGATACGTTGCACCAGTTTACTGTTATTTAACCTATCGCCATGCAAGCTATTTACAAAAAGTATCAATAGAAATATTTGATCCAGAAGTACTTGCTGAAGGCCGACTAAAAAACTTGTCAATTTTGGGCAATTTTTGTTTACTTTCTCCTCTTTCTTAGCGTTGTTTGCGTTTAAATGCACCACCGGGTTTCTTTTTTTTTGTCCATAATATTAGTTTTCTAATTTATTTATGTAAGATTGTACTCAAGTAGGTACTCACTGTTCACTGACAACGTTACAAGTAAAAGGAAAGCGAATCTTGAATGAATGAAAATGATACGATACAAGGCGTCGTTGGGGAATCCCCGGCAAACGCTTTATCGCCGTCAGTGTTACTACATTTGACGGTTTGACGGACTACAATCAAATAAAATTGAACTTTTGTATGGACCAGTACAAAAAATTTATTGACATACGATTACTTACTCCTGATACAATAACTTTTTAACCATTCTCGAAAAAATATTGACTCGAAGTTCACAATCGCGAATCACAAAAACGCATATCGATAAATAATAATATGCAGATATTGATTTCCAACAAATTGATGAAAACATTAATAACACTGTCAACCCACACAAATAATTTACGAGAATTCCCTTTTTACCCGACTGCGCGACGCAAAGAAGGGTACCTAATTATAACTTTGGAATTACTCACAACTGAGTTTCCATGATTAAACTCGAGTTGTCACCTGTCATTTTTATTTTGAAGATGGGAGAAATTTTCAAAAGTTGAGTTCAATTGAGATTTTCTGGTAAAGATTCGAGGGCCCCCTGAGCTTGAGGGCCCCGGGGCACTGCCCCGCCTAGCCCCTTAGTAACTACGCCACTGCCTATGAATAATGTGTTCAATAAAGCTAATTAAATAAGGCAATGAATTTTTATATCATAAATATTTATTTTATAAATTATAGTTACTAGAAAAATATAATAGAGATCAGAAATAAAGTCTAATAGGTTTTTCATCAAGGTTCCCAGCTTCTGAAATAATTGTTCGTTATATTACAAGGAGCACTTTAAAATACTCTAACCAAATAAAAATAAAGAAATTGTAATCCGAATAATTCAGCCGAATATTCGGTTCGCTAAAAGTTAAACCAAATAATATACGGTTATTCGATGAAACCACTATTCGGCGCATCTCTACTTATTTTCTATATCTTGAACACATCTTGAACTTGGTTTCTGAACATACATTTACTATAGTAACCCACTTCAACAATACCTAATTACTGAACGTTATTTGTGCCGGCTGACGTGTAAATGTCATTTTGACATTTAGACATCTGCCTTTGCGTGCTGAGTTTTCATATTATTTACTGGAAATCTTTAATAACTTAAAATATAAATAATAAAAGTGAATGGCATTTGTAAATCATCATCAACATGACCACATTACGAGAACGCCAACTAAGTACATACAGTCAATCTCCAGTCAACCTCTTCCTTCAAATAATGCGTGTGAATAAAAACAATTCATCTATTTTTTCAATTTTACAGATGCTTTAAAGCAAATGCTCAATTTAAATCAGCCTATAACAAAAAATATAGCAAATGAACCTAATTGGAAAGTTCTCACTTACGACAGAGTTGGACAAGATATTATTTCTCCACTTATATCAATTAAAGAGCTAAGAGAACTAGGTGTGACTCTACATGTGTTAGTATCCAGTTAGAATTTTAGTATCGGTTTTATGAGACAACGTTTAAATAAAAAAAGAGATTGTGTCATTTTATGAACAACAATGTAGAAAAACTCTATTGTGTTTTTAATATGAAAAACATTTATTTGCAGGCAACTTCATTCAGATAGAGATCCAATACCTGAAGTACCAGCAGTTTATTTCTGTGCACCAACAGAAGAGAATATTGGCAGAATATGTCAAGATCTTGATAATGGAATATATGACCAATATCACCTTAATTTTATTTCACCAATAACAAGGCAGAAACTTGAAGACTTAGCAGCATCTGCTATCCAATCTAATTCTGCTGTAAGCATTCAGAAAGTTTATGATCAATACCTTAACTTCATATGTTTGGAAGATGATCTTTTTATTATGAAACACCAGCAGTCAGATTTGTTATCTTATTATGGTAAGTGAACAAATTAACACATCCATTAAAGTTTTTGTCATTTGTTTATAGCAACATTATGAATATAATTTTTTAAATTTGAAACCGAATGGTTCGCACGCCAGTTTCAAGGTGTTGCCATCTCTGAGGTCCCGGGTTCGATCCCTGGTCAGGTCAATGTAGAAAATGAACTTTTCTATATTGTGTCGGGTCTGGATGTTGTGTTAATTTTGTTGTCTCAGATACTCCATAATACAGGGGCTTTGACTACTCATCTTGGAATCTAAACAATTTATGATATTGTGTAATATTTATTTATTTTATGCACGTAATATTTATTAGAGCTTCAAGTCATTATTAAACCTACATGATTGTTTGTGCTACTGATCATTAACTTAAATATTTTTAATTATTTAAAGATTTAAATATTACTGACTATTTTGTAAAGTAACTATAATTAAATATGTTATTAATTCATTATTTAAATATTTTACAGCTATAAATAAAGGGGACACAAAAGATACTGAAATGGAAAATATCATGGACAATATTGTAGAAAGTTTATTTTCAGTATTTGTTACATTAGGTAAGTTTCATGATACTTAAGTTTGAATGTAATTTTCTGTATGTAGTGTTATATTTTTATGAATATATAAACATATTTACTGTAAGTTAATCATATGGTTTTTTAAATCTATAGGTAATGTTCCAATAATTAGAAGCAGTAAAGGTAATGCAGCAGAAATGGTAGCCAAGAAACTTGATAAAAAATTAAGGGAAAACTTATGGGATGCCAGAAACAATTTGTTTCATGGGAACACCGGTCAAGGTGGTTCATTCAGCTTTACAAGACCTATGCTCATTTTGTTAGATAGAAATATAGATATGGCTACGCCTCTACATCACACATGGACATACCAGGCACTTGCACATGATGTGCTTGACTTGTCACTAAACAGGTATGTTTAATTATGCTTAAGCTTTTAAGAGTGCTCATATACACAATATTTTAAAGCAAATTGATAGTATTTTTATTGGAAAAAATTGCAAAAGGTCATTCATGGGTGCAAGTCCCATCTCAGAGTTTTTAAGCATTTTTTCAGTATAGCATTGTGAATTCAAAAGTTGATGATATCCAAACTTTTTTTAAATTTGAAAAAGTGTACACAGTTTAATTTATATTTAGAACAACTTATTGTGATTTGTGGTACTCAGTGACATAGGGGTTAGTGCATTATGTCTGCTATACAATTGGTAACCAAAAACTTATTATCATTAGCTCCTCTGTGCTTCATTAGGCATGTTAAGGCTTTGCCCCCAGATGTATCAACACTTGTTAACAACCACCAGATTGGAGAGCCACCGCTCATGGCCCATTCACTCTAATTGATATGAGTCTATCTATAGGGAAGGCCTATGCCCCAGCATTAATAGATTGGTGTTGATAGTGAGTTTTTTTTTTAATTATTCCTATTCAAATTTATTTCAGGGCAATGGTTCCCGAGAGTACTAACACAGCTGTGTCATCAGGCCAAAAAGTAAAAACGCGTGTTTGTGATTTGGATTCCAAAGACCCATTATGGATGGAACATAAGGGTAGCCCATTTCCCACTGTTGCAGAAGCAATACAGGAAGACTTAGATAAATACAGGTATAGATGTTTATTTATTTTTAAACTATAACAGGGATTCTATGTCATCCTATTATTACAATTTTGCCTTATAATAAACAAAGCCATTACAAAAAATTCAATCCAAAGCATGATTGTGTAAAATATGTTACTGCTACTGTTTTTGATTTTAAGAACTAAAAACAAAAACAAAATAGGTTCATCCGTTCGGGAGCTATGATGCCACAGACAGACACACACACAGACACGTCAAACTTATAACACCCTGTCGTTTTTGCATCGGGGGTTAATTAGATCACAAAAAGTTTTCAATACTGAAACATAAACTTTTTATGATCTAATTTTGCTTAGCAAACGCTCACCATGTAATATTCATTTTATAACTACCAGGAGTTCAGAAGCAGAAGTAAAAAAGTTGAAAAGCTCAATGGGTCTGGATGCTGACAGTGACCTTGCTTTAAGTCTTGTGAGCGACAACACTCAGCGTCTTACCAGCGCCGTCAACTCCTTACCACAGTTGATGGAAAAGAAACGCCTTATTGATATGCATACTACAATTGCAACAGGTAAGTAATAAGACTCATTCCACATTGGATATGGAAAAGTGTAACCTGTATTCACAAAACATTTTACCAAATATCATTACTATTTTTAGCAATACTCAATGCAATAAAATGTAGAAGGTTAGATTCATTCTTTGAATTGGAAGAGAAAATAATGAGTAAAAGTAGTAGTGTGGAAAGCAAAGCAGTGATGGATTTAATATCAGACCCCAGCGCTGGGACTGAAGAGGACAAAATGCGTCTATTCATTATTTACTATTTGTGCACATCACAAATCCCTGAGGATGAGTATAAAAAGTTTGAATCAGCACTACAGACTGCTAACTGCGATATCAAACCAATGACATATATGAGAAGATTAAAGTAAGTAAAGCCTAACATCTCTCACATGTAGCTATATTACAGGCAGATCTTGCAGCCAAATAATACTTAATTCATGATTTCTTTGAAAGAAACAGTAATATCATCTTATGTATATACATAATTTATTTATAAATTGTATTTTTCTATTTAAAATTAAATCAAAAGTGTTTACCTTTCAGTATTTATTTATTTTACTTTAAGGGAAAAAAAACTTATTATTATTATTAACACATGCAATGTAGTTTTCAGTTCAAATTTGGGGGGTATACATTAAACTGAATATTTTTTTTTTTTATTTCAGGGGGTTCACTAAAATGTCGAGTCAGTATGAAGGTGGAGGAACAAAAACGGTTTCGATGTTCTCTAAACTGGTATCCCAGGGTTCTTCATTTGTAATGGAAGGGGTTAAAAATTTAGTGGTCAAGAAACATGTAAGTATAGCATAAGTAATATATATTAATTCAAAAGTTATATACCAAACATTAGTAACTGGTTGAAACATTCATAAAGTTTATTGGATTATAATAAACTTTATGAATGTTTCAACCATGAGGTTTACAACAAAAACAAAACATTTTTGCTCAGTACAAAAAAAAATGTAGATATTTTTCTCGAAAAATATAAGTCTACAAACATTTTTGTCATTCGAAAACTTATTAGGTTAACAAAGATCTATCTCATACACAAAAAATTAATATAAAACTAGAACTGTTCAGTTCCTATGTCCACTTTTTTTCCCCAAATGGGCGGGCTCAATAAGGAATATGCGTCTGATTCAAAAAAATGTTAAATATATTGATATTACGATCATTATTGCTTTAAAATAATATGTTAATATTTCTTAACATAAATTCGTCTTCGTTTTAAAAATAATTTAAAAAAATGCAACAATAATGCGGTAACTTCAAAATATTCAAACGCCATGCTACTTGTCAGAGCGGATGTGACGTAAATGTACACGTATAGGGATGTCGTTGTTACAAAAAGTTAAAATCGATGCAATAACATCAGTGTATTATGTCGCAAAATAAACAACAGATTACAATTTGAATGATGTTTTAGGCTTTTATTTTTATTTCATAATTTTGATTAACTATATGATTTATTAAAAAAGTCTATTATACTTTAAATAATCGATTAGTTGTTAATCGATTTGGGTAATTGAATAATAATCAATCACTCAATATCCATATTGATTTAAAATGTCATATCTCTAGTCGTGTACTTTGACGTCACATCAAGCGCGCCAAAAATTCCGGTGTTTAATCTGCTCGTAGCTGTGACTCATTTTCATCAATTATTAATGTTACAAAATTTTAGTTTTACGGTGCTGGGTATTTTTTTGCAGTTATATATCGATGTAAATTATCATATAAAAACATTTTTACCTCCTACAAACGCCCTCCGTACACCCTCACTTTGTACCCAGCAGTGATTGCTCCACACCTAGCCCCCGTTCTGCCCAAAGACCTCTTTCAGTCAGAAGAAGACCTAAATAAATAAAAAGCATCTCTGTGTTGTATTTTATAATAGTCTTGAAAATATATATAAATCAGTCATTATAAAGGGTAATTTCTTTAATGGGAGGAACCGCATCATCCAATAGTAGTAGGGATGAGTTTTATAAAAAAAAAAAAATCGCATGCGTGATAAACAACTAACTGAAAACGTTGGAACAAGGTAAATAAACTATGCAATATATGAGATAAACATCATACATAACATGCTGTTAGAGGCATGAATTTGGATAATAAGTCAAATCATTCTCTCTTTGTACATGCATCCCACTGTTGCATAATTTTATATCTTCTTCCAGCTTTTTCAGTTATTTGTTTCTCGCAGGTGGGTTGTTTGTTTATTTTTTTATAACTTTATTTGTGTCTTTTTAGTTAAGACAAATTTAGGTTCAGAAAATGAAAGAACAAAATCCATATTATTATATAATAATAATAAGTCTTTATTTTCTTTATTATATTTTATCAATTCTGCATTCAATGGATTTTTAAGCATTTTTCATTAAGCAAGTCCATCTTTTTAAACTTTATCATTGTATTATTTTTATTAGTATCATGATCATGATTTGATATCAATATTGTAGAATTTGAAACAATTTTTTTAATCATTAAATATAAGAGCGTCACACAGCCGCCATATTTGAATTTTTTAACGTTACCTATCAACACTCGGGCTACTAAAACAAATTCAACGATACTTCAATTATCTAAATCCGTTAGCGGTCCAAAAGATATGAGGTAATAAATAATATTACAATATATACAAGTTACGCGCCAAAGTCAAAATAATCTTTATTCAAATAGACTTCTTAAAAGTACTTTTGAAAAGTCCAACATTTTTTTCCCTACCGCTCGTTCAGAATGTCTTTTGGCTGATAAGAAGAACGAGCAAGAAACTCACCAGCTCTAATAGGAGTAATGACATTTACAAAAACCATGTCATTACCAGATCAATACATTATAAATAAAGAGAGAGAAAAAAGAAACTATGGTTTTATAATATATGGCGCGAAAAACATAACCCTCAATTTGCAGTCATGTAAAAACAATGATTATATGTATTGTATATTTTGTGGTTAGAAACTACCAGTGAGTCGCACCGTAGAAGCGGCGCTGAGTGGTAGCGAAGTGAGTGGCGATCTCACCTGGATGGACCCACGCGCCGCTCGTACGGACGCGGCGGCGAGAGCGCGCGCCTCTAGAAACCCACCGCCCACTGACGCGGTAGTGTTTCTTGTTGGAGGCGGCAACTATATCGAGTACCATAACCTCATTGATTTCGCTAAGGTGAGAACATGTTTTTTTATTCAATGGAAGAGTATAATATCTCGTACGAATACGGGTGTAAATAGTAAAAGGAAGTACGCATTTTTTTTTCTGGTAGTGTTTAATATACTATTAATAACAATCACACTTAATATGCTTATTATATTTATAATATTGCGGTAATTAATTAAAATAACAATATAAAAAATTTGTCTTTTTATATTTTAACAGTACGATAAATATAACAACCATAAAACTGTGATTATCGGTAATAGTATATCAAACATTAACAGAAAAAAGTAATATGTATTTATTTTTGTTTATTGTCTACGCCCGTATATTTATAAAAAATATATATATACTCGTTATCACGTGACCGCAAACAGCGCGTGGCGTCACGCCCCTGTTACTAATATCAGAACTTAAAGAATTCAACCTTATGCATACATAGAACGATATTAGTTTCAGAGGGCCGTGAAATTATAGTGACGCTATGACAGAAGTGGCGTTCTTGCGGCATTTGTTATGTGAAAATTTAAATATTTTTTTTAGAAATATTTTCATCTATAAAATAAAAATATAAAAAGTCGTCTACACCCGTTAACTTAACCTGCATTCTTAATCTCGAACGCAATCGCGATCGATCGTTATAATTGTGCCGTACTCTTTGATTGGTTACATTAGTATACTCAGGCGCCAGTGTACCCAATCAGGAGTACGAAACGGCACAATTGCAATATCGATCGTGATTGCATTCGAGGGTACGTATGATGGGGTGCGACCACGTAACTCTCTAGCCTTGATTCTAGACATAGGATATGACATCTCAGCGATGTTATGGCGATATTTCATTTCATGTTACCACTTTGACATGTCGTTTGGTGTATAAATTACCGAGTTGGTAATATGCTATCAGATCCATAATCATCATTCGTTATCGTTCGTTCGTGGTTACTAAAGTAGATGTCAAAGTAGTAAAACACAACTAATTTACTTTTAAACATGAAAGAAAACCGGAAAGGTTGTCATGAGAAATCAAGAACGTACCGTAGCGACATCTAGTTTGATTTCGGGAACTAATTTTACTTCCTCGTTAAATTCAAGCGGTTAATTAAATTCAAATTGATTTTTTTTTATACTTAGTAAAACGTTGTTATTTTATATTGATAAATAATTATCACTATGGATTTGACAGCAGTGTTCAAAATTTAGTTGTTTGTTTACCGAAGGCACGTTCAATTAGTAAAATATAACGAAACATAGCTATAACATCGCTAAATTATCGTTTATCCTATGGCTATTCATGACAGAGTTAGGCGGTGGCACTAGTAATATTAACTTGGTAATAGTAATATTAACCCTGTATAAATTAAAATACATGTTGTGCTACCTTTTGTTTCCAGCAACAAGCTGCTAGCGGCACACCTAGAAAAATTATCTACGGATCCACAACGTTACCTAATGCGTCGCAGTTTTTAAAACAGCTGTCATTATTAGGAGAGGAAATCCAGTGAACATTCCCATCTCAACTATTTCATTGTATAATAGCAATATTATAAATTATTTCTATATATATAACTACTATCGGAATATGATTTGTATAGTTTTATTAGGCTTATGGATGATGAATAATGAAAACATGTTTCAACAAGTTGGCATTTTATTTACAATGACATTGAAAATATAGCTAACATCTAATACACTACTAATATTTTTGATTGTTTTGAACAAGAAGTATAAAATCTAAATCACAAGAGTAATATTTTAACAGTATCAGATCTCAAAACCACAAACAATACGAAGCTACATATTTTTTATGATGGCAATATTTTCAAATGTAAACAACAAAACGTTATAGTTTGGTATAACATTATACCAACATTACGTTTTCAAATGCTCCGAAATTAAATCCTAATGTCCCAGCCCTTAATCTATTGTGCTTATTTATAAACTAAACTTTAATATTAATAATAATAAAACACGTACATAATCAATAACCCTCGAAAAATAGCTAATATGTGTTAGATATTACCCTAATATTAAACATATATTAAAGAAAAATAAGTTTATTTAGGTGAATGAGGAACTTGAACATCTTAGAACTGCATAAACAGGTGTCAAATAACATTTGCTGACGGACAAATTTGTTGTTCGTTCATTTTAAAACATTCAATATTATATAATAAACATAATTCTTATGAGTATAATTATCACGGATAATGATATGATTTTGGCACAGTGAATAAAATTACTTAGGTCTAAAAGAGATATGTGGCATGAATATTATAATACTTTATATTCTTATAACACATACTAAGTACTATTTAGACACGTATTCTCCGAATCGAAGGTGACAACATATCACATGGAAGTAAAACAAATCTTAAGACTGGTTTACACTTGTTTAAACAGTAAGTGATTAAGTGCGTGTAAACACACAAATTTGTAGCAAGTTAAAATTTTGTTTACTTATGAGCTTAAATTAATAAAATTTTAACTTGCTTCTTATTTGTGTGTTTACAGGTAATCTACTTACTACTTAAGTCTGTGTAAACCAGCCATAAGTCAGTTTATAAATATTATTATAGCAACATTTCTAATGTGTCGAAAAAAAACATGATAAAGGTCTACATATCTTAACAATAAATTAAATTCATATAAATTAATCTAAACATTGAACACATAATTGCTTACTTTATATAAATAAATAATAACAATTAAGTCACTGTAATTTTTAAGTAACCAAATTAATTTTAGGTATTATTTCAACATACAGCCACATTCCTCTCATAGACCTCATAATTACGATTGAAGAGAGCACAAAATGTAAAACGATATTAACACTAAAACAGTGTAGTCATGGCAAGATCATAACATTAACAATTTGCATTCCTCAAAATATTACAGATATATTTGTGCATAAACAAAAACAGATATTTTAATATTCCAAACACAGTTGCACACTAACGTTGAGATAAAGTAGAATTTTATACCTAATGTAAATATGAAAGTCATGTGTAGGTAAATATATTATAACGTCATTAAATGTCATACAATCATTTAAAATATTGTGCGTAAAAAAATATATTAATTGCAAAACACATTACAAAACATAGAGAATGACGATTTACAATAGTAATTAAATTAATAAATTCACACAAATATAATGGCACACACATAAGCGCCTAACACTGCGACTTTTTATATAAATCTATCAATAAAATGATAAAACGCAGTTCTAAGAATAATCATCATATCAATTATTTTTTATAAAAAAAAATAGTTACCTTTACGGAGGTAAAGTGTGACATCTTATGAATTCTAATATCCAATATAGTTTATCTGTTCCAGCAAAACCGTTCCATTATTCCAATGGGAGTACTGACGAGTCGTCATCAATCTAAAGCTTACATAAAACTCAATACAGTTTTTTTTTTCACAATTTAGAAGAGAAATATAGAAAGGAGAATTGAATTCGCGTGGCAGAGTTCATTTTAAATACTCTTCAGATACAAGAGTAACTGTTATATGAAGCAATGCAACTACAGCCCTTAAGGTGTAACGCCATGGTTTATATTATTTTTAATTGTTTATAAAAGGTGCTTAGTAATTTGATATCACTGATAATGTTCATACTTTTATAATTATTGTTTTATGCTAACATGATATTATTAACGTTTTAAATGTATAAATCATTTTAATTTTCTGAATATTAAAATTTAAAAAGCCCAAAATGTTTGGAAATAAGAAATCAATGCGCTAATAATAATATAGCACTTGGTAAACAATTAACTATGACATAACTAGAACACTAGCGATATCTTTTGACAATCTAAAACAATTAAACTATGTTTTTACACCTTAAAATTTCCAGAAATCTATATTATTTATAATTTAATAAGACATTTGGTCTTATCGTTTTTCCTTTTTTTATAATACAAAAATGTCTTAAAATATTAAAAAGTATACTTTACCACATACAACTTGTATGTGGAATATTCATGTCACAGTGCTGGCCTGCCCAAAAAATCATTGAGAAATCTAATAACAGCATCAACAGGTTATGCTTATAGCTAATGCATCCATTACAAGGACCACGAAAGTACTAGTTACACAGATTAAGGCGCATTTAGACGAATATTCCGTGTATACTACACTTAAAATATTAAAATCTTATGCAATACAATGCTTTATAACAATCAAGCAGTACATATGCCGTATGGAAATAACGACAGTATCGATTTGTTAACAAGTATTAATTTCTAATTAAAGAGGTATCAATTACGCTTGGAATGGACTTAAATGCCATTGAGAGTTATACTGTTTAAGATATCTATTATAACGGATTATGAAAGTGTAATCCTTTTGGGTTGTATAAAACATATTAAAATGCGTGGATATTTATCTTACAAAATATGATATTATAAATAAAAATGCATTTAATATCGGCAATCCAGACAGCATAGTTCATTTACTATTTTAATCCAGGTCAAACCCGAAAGAAATCTAGCCACTCAGCTACACAAACAGAAAAGGAGTTTTCATTTTCCAATACTATATCAATAATTCTCTAAATATTATTTTCTATACAGGGAAGACAGAGAGCAAGTATTAATAGAATAGTTATAGAATTTTCAATCCCTTTAGCAAAAAAAATCCTCTACACTATGCATTCATGAGAATGCATGGACGGAAGATACATAATGTACTCAAATGTATCTTTTCCAAAATCGATTGATGCAAATGATTACTAATGAGTTCATTATAACAATTAATATGAAAGTAAGATTAAATTGTACACAGTAGAACCCCCCCAATTGATGGAATGTTTGATTATTAAGTGCATTCAATAAAAGCTAAGGTTACTAAGATGTTATAAGGCTTTCATTGTCAGTCTTTACATACGGACTGACTTTAGACTGTAATTATACAACTGGCTTGAAAGCTATTAGTATTGAACAGATGTTCAAAAACGATGTGTCAATTATGACCATTAAAAATAAATAAAACTATCATACACTTTCTGAATAACATTCGAAAAGAGCATGTTACACAAACATAGGTTAGTTCAGCATATAAGTTTTGGAATGTTGTTCAAGATTGAGTTTCATACATAATTCGTATAAAAAATTAATATTCTTTGTAAATTTGGAATGTGATTATCTATCCACAAATGGTAACAATAAATCTAAATTTCATTTGTTATTATATGAATAGAAGTGTACACTATTGTAACCTTTTATATTCTGAAAATATAAAAATAATAGTATAAAATAATTTATGTTAGAATAACCCAATGTAATATACTATAAGAAAAAGTTGATATGGATGATTTCAAATCTATTAATATTTTTATAATTACAATAATCTACCACTCCCATATTTATTCAGTCTTGTAGACAGTTAGTTCTTTTTTTTCTGAGGGAATATCATACGAAAATTAATAATTCCAGATGGACACGAATTTTAAAAAGCAACAAAAGAAGAAGATCTGCTAAAATTGTTTATGTGGTGTGTATATCTTATTGCAACTTCACATATATTAGGCCTGTAACATCAATGGCATACAAAAAGTCCAGACTCAGACACTTCCTCAAAGGCTTTCTGGAGTGACATCACAATCCTGTTCGAAAATCGAATAGAGCCATTAGCTGTTTATGTTGTTTCCGAGTATTTTACCTATTACGAAATTGAATATAACAGTGCGTTATACAAACAAACAACTATTCTACTTAAAATAGGCATTTGTGATATCCAGACAGGAAGGATACAAATTTAGAATCAGAAAACTTACACTAGATTATACCAATAACATTACTTTCATGATTTAAAAACAACTACTAGGTATTTGAAGGATTATATAGGATAATGATTTTTTTTTTTTATACTTATAACATGATACCAGTCGATTATATTTAATGCCCATATTGATGATTTAAAATGTACACATTGATTGCAAAGTATCTAATTTGCTGTCTCAAAGCTAATGTATTGTTTAAACGCATTATATTGTATTTATTAGATTCATCATTTATTATTTCTTATAATTTGCAACAGATCTTACAGTTAAGTATATTATGTAAGTGATTATCACCCTACCTAAATATATTAGTCAGTATCTTTAAATTATTTAAAAGAACATTTATAACCTATTTTACTATAAACTTTGAATTTTAAGGATAGTTATGAGGAACATGTCATGAACATGTCATTTCATGTAGAACAATTGATATTATACATATAATACAGAGTTACATAGAATCAACAGTTCATAATAATTTGAAAAAATTGTCATAGAGTTTAAAACGAGATTCAAAATCACTCCTAAGGAAGTAAATTATTATTATTTTCAGAGATATTAGAAGCGAAGTAAACTAAGCAAGAGAGAACAAGAATTAATATTATAAGGTACATTTTTTAACAAGTCATAGGTATTTTTTTTATTCACAGTAATAAGAAATCATAAGATGACTAGGTATAATGTCTTATAACAGTTCGTTGATTTCCATTACCTAAATACACTTAGTAATTAGTTTTATAAGCAATTCTCCAATTAAAGTTTCAAGCGGTAATAATATATATAGCGATGACACAAATCTCTGGCTTGTCTGTTAGCAACAGATTGGACAATGAACATCAATTACTATGGCACGTCTACCAATTTAATAAGTGCCACAGACATATCAATGACAATGTGAGCATAACTAAAATCTCAATATGCTGTAAATTCAATGAGTAATTATATATTAAGTACCTTTTCAAGCAGATGTTAATATATCGGTAGGGTAAAGTATTTTAAAATAACACAGCTATTGTTTGGACTGTGACTGTGAAGCTCGACTCGAGCTGCTGCTGTTTAATGCCATTTTCTGCATTTGCCGAATAACTGTTGTAGCATGGTATGCCTGTTTCCAGCGAGACTTGGCAAAGTTTTTCTTGAGCTGCTCAGATACAGTACCATGAATATTCTTGTTGCTGGCTGCATTTCCAGAAATCCAAGGGTGTGCCAATGCTTGCCTGAAAATAATAACACTTTTACTTAAAATATGTAATCTATCAAAAAATAATAATAATCATCATTATTGCACATGACACAGACAAGAAAATAAAACACGGTATTACAATACAAAGTACACAAATAAATAAAAGCAACGGTAAATATGGAGTATTGAGTGTAAAGATCAGAAGGATATAATATGAATTTTGACTAATATGAAGAGCAGTCACAGCGTAAATTTACTCCAACGCCTAACCTTGTTTATAAGTAGCACTGTATAAGTAGACAGCATTAACATAAAGGAAAAATATGCTATAAGTATCCTTTTTTTTCATGCTTTAAGTTATATGATCCTTAAACAATAGAGAAACACAATGTGGACTATCCTGCCTCATGTTATTAATTAGCATTATTAACTTCGTTCTCTAAACTTAAATAAATCAACCTGCCACAGGAACATTGAATGCATAAAATACTACTATAATTAGTCCTATTTTTTATTTTATTTCATTCAATATGTTGAAGGTTCATTGACAACTGAATTAAGAACCATTTTTTTAAATTTCCATTAGAGCATATCAAACTTTAAATGTATACAAAAAAAAAGTATCCATATTTTTATGAAAAAATAATTGAAGTTGTTACATTATAAAACTGTAGACAATTGGTTAGCACGCCCGTTTCAAGGTGGTGCCATCTCTGAAGTACTGGGTTCTATTCCCAGGTCATTGTAGAAAATGAACTTATCTATATCATCTCTTATCTGAAAGTTGTTTAGTTCTTTGTTGTTTCGGATATTTATAATGGGGGGCTTTGACTACTCATCTTGGAATCTATGCAATGTATGTGATGTTATCTACTATTTATTATACATAAAATAATTAATATAGTATAATTTAAAGCTGGTTTACAATAAATAATTTGAACTTTAATCAAATTACATCAAATCACTTTTTTTAAAGACAGGATAAATTATTCAAGATTAAATGATCCATCAACAGATTCAATAAAAATAATTTAAGTGATACCTGGGTATATTATTAGTGTAGAGCTATATGTACCACAAACAAATTAACTTTCCTCTAAATCAAAACAGTAAAAATAGAATTTTCTTAACTTTGTAAACCTCTAATGCATGCAACATTATCTATATCCCATAAAAGGAGAGAATGAAATATAAACCTGTTGACCTCACACAGAGAAAAACATTTTTTTTTTTATTTGAGAGTTCTTTGATGTTTTATTAATAAGTTATGTTAATAAAGTGTTCATGACAGTGTAATATGATCACTCAACTGTTGTTTAATATTTATATTTTTTTTATTTAAAAAATAAAGAAATCTATATCATATCAATAGTAATGGACAAAATACAATTGATTCATTATCAAAAATTACAGTTTCAAAGTATAAAGTTTTATTTTTGAGTAAGTCACATGTGATTATAATATTCCAATATTATATTTGATCAATTTTGCATTCACAGTACTATACTGAAAAATATTCTCATTAATGAATGCTTAAAAAACAACCCACTTAGTCTCAGGCTTTTCTTCGTCTTTGTCATGGGTTCGAGTCCATCTCAGAGTGCCAGTGACAAATTGGATTTTTTAAGCATTTTTCATAGAGAATATTTTTCAATATTCCAATATTTTACTAGTTTTCTGCCAGTAGCTTAGCCCGCATGATCCTATTTTATACACATAAATCTTCATTTTAAATTACTCTTTATAATGATTAAAAATTGCATTAAAATCTATTGTTTAGCTTAAAAGATCTCAATGTACGGACAGCAGGAACCGAGTTTGTATTATACTTATCTATTAATAAGTAATTTAAGATAGAAAACTCAATGTGAAATATTTAATAGAGAATGAAGTTTACACATTGTAATTCATCTTGTATAATTTGCATTGATATTTTAAATTAATTAGATTTTGTTCATGTCTGTGAGTGATACTTTTATTTGCTTTGATAGACAGAAGTCAAATAAACAATGGGTAAAATACAGTTAAAAGCATGAAGGACACATCAATATTACTTAAGTTTGTTGTAAATTATGATGATCCATTTTGCCAATTAGTTTTGGTCACAACCCATTGTAATATAAATCCTTTCATTAAAATTTGTGTACAATTTACCAATTTGAATAGGTGTTTGTGACTTTTTGAAATGCTTAAATATGTTATTATTTAAAAAAGGTTTTTTGCAGTCAGTTACACCATGACTTGATGATTTTATAAAAAAAAATTACACCTAAATGTAGGTATTTGATAAAAAATTGGGAGTTGTTCTACTATTAAGAAAATGATAATTATAGTCACTTTTATTTACAATTTAAACTACTATAAATGAAAGTCCTTGTGCATGTGCAAGATTATTAAATCTTCAGAATGTCAATACTCACTTGCAAGTATACCTCTTATCCACATCTACACACATCAAATGTCGAATGAAGTCTTTTGCCGAATCACTAATATCATCCCAATAAGGCGAATCAAATTCAAAATCTCCTTTCAATATCTGTGCAAATAAATTTGCATCATTTTCATCATAGAATGGAGGATATCCACACAACAATATGTAGGAAATCACTCCTATACTCCACACATCAACTGCCTTTCCATATGGTTTCTGTGCCAGCACTTCTGGAGCAACATATCCTGGTGTACCACAGGCTGTAGCCATAATACCAGAGTCTTCTATCTTTGATAAACCAAAGTCACTGATCATTATTTTGCTATCCTCATCTGGACTATAGTACAAGAGATTCTCTGGTTTTAAATCTCTATGAACTACACCCTGAGAATGCATATAATCAACAGCTTCCAACACTTGTCTAATCAGATTTGAAGCATCCTTTTCAGTATAGGAACCTTTTTCGACGATTCTATCAAATAATTCTCCGCCTGTCACTAGTTCCATTACAAGGTACACTTTATTTTTATCCTCATAGGTCTCCAACAGCTGGACAATATTTGGATGGGAAAACATTTTTTTCTCACCACCTTCACCTTTTGCTTGTTCACTAAATCTTTTCAATACTCTAATTTCATTCTCCAAGGAGTCTTCTTTTCCTTTTAAAGCTTTTTTATCGATAATCTTGCATGCGAACAGCTGGCCGTTTTCTTTGCTTTCTATCAATCGCACCTCAGAAAAAGCACCAGTGCCTAGCAAATCCTTGACAGTATATTTGTCCTCGATTGATGGTTGCTTCTCCGATTCCCGTGCATCCTTTTTAGATTTTCTTCCAAAATCTTTCTTACCAAATAGAGGCATCTTGGCGCCCCACGCTTGTAGATGTCGACCTACACTACTTATCTAATAAATATCTACGTACATATGGCAGATCTAACGAGACGACTGGACAGAACAATAATCTTATTCGGTAGCTGGCTTCACAGATAAACGGAATGTTGGCAATGTATGTTGCGCAGGGCACTCAAGGTCAGTCGATTTGTCAAAAATTTGCTACACGTTTCGTTTTACACATCATCGTTTGTCAAATGTAAATAAGTTTTCTTGTTTTTATTCAATAATGGGCTATGAAGATTAAATACTAATTTGTAAACATAATAAATTTAGAAGTATACGTAGTTAATAACTGTTTTTATTAGCAAAAATATGAGTATTTACATTTATAATTAAGAAATATTCTCTTTTCACGCACAACCAACGAACCGTTGCACTTTTAAAAGTGTTAAAATTCTGCAAAATAATGAAACGACTGTATGCATCTTTTGTAGTCGTTTATTATTCGTATAAAGAGGAGCTCGACTCAGGGACGGATCATGAATTTGTGGGGGCCCTAGGCTAATACTAATAAGTCCGTTAAGCCCTTAGGTAGATCCGCCCCTGGCTCGACTTGTAACTTTTTATAAAGAGGGAAGGCAGAACTAAGACTACTTTTCGTTTAGACGGAGAGCTCGTGACAAATCTATGCAAGGGATTTCACATCTCAGATATTGTGAAATCAAACTTCGAAAAAGAGTTTTTCAATTTGCATAATTGTATTTTAATTTAATTACGCTTTGCAATAGCTCGGTGGCTCATATTGTTCATATGAGCCACAGCACGTCAGAATATATAAATCAAGTGGAGAAATTTTACAGATTTCTTCTGAGACATATTGAGCCGCTACTTTCCAAGACTGTTTGGACTAATTATTTTTATCTTAATTTGCTTATAATAAGAAACTAAGTAATGAAATTTCAGACATTTTGAATTTTTTTCGGAGCTGGATTGCAAGATATCTTCTGAGATGTCGTGAGCCGCCATGTTCCACTATTGAACGGTCTGCGTAGTACATTATTATTACTTTTATGAATAACAAGTTTCTAACAATTTTTTAGCTATTTTGAAACTCTTGTAATGCATATCCCCATTCTACATACTTTAATGTGCGCCGCCACTAGGTGTTCCAACACCTTTTACTTCAACATACTGAAATATCAAGATTTTGAAGAAGCTCTTGCACTTATTTGTCGCTGTCTCTTAGAGCAGCGCTTCCCAGCCTTTTTCAGAAAAAAATAACGGGTTAGGTATTTATTTTAGTTATTATTATTACAGATACAACAAAAAAAACAAATACAGAAGGTAATTATAACTGTTAATTATTATTATTCTACTATTATTATTATTTTTATTAATCTACTCGTAATCTGTTTCTGTATTTGTTTTTTGTATAAACAAGAGTAGAGAATGCCTTTTCATATAGGTATGTGGTTGAAAAGAGCAGTAAATGTTTCAGTGCTTCGTACGATATCTTATAATCAGTCTTAACATTCACCCAAAAATTAAGCATTTCGCTCATTAAATGCAAAAGGGACGCAATCCCAAATATCATTTTTTTACAGGAGAGCCAAAACAAAATTTGAAAAACCAATGTATATATTTTTTCTTTTAAAGATTAATAATAGTGTTGGGTGGTAATCATTGGGTGCATCTTTTTTATTTTTTTAAATATCGTGTGCTTAGATCACATTTTTTTAATAAAACTGGTTCGCTGATTTTCCATTTTGTGGCCCTTTGCATTTAATGAGCAATTTATGTATGGTCCAGAGATGACACCGCGGACCTCCATACATATAGGTACTCGCGGACCCTCAGGGATCCGCGGACCACAGTCTGGAAAACGCGGTCTTAGACTATTTGGACGGACATAAAACTGCGTGGTCGCCTCCATCGCACGACAAACATACGTCACACTAGCGCCACCAAGTTACTTTAAAATACTTATTTTAAAATACTTTTTTATACTATATTATATATAGTAAGTATTGGAAAAAGAACTGGATTCAAATCTATGTTCAGTAAAAACATGTACGTTCGAATCCTATCTTAGTCTTTCTATTTTAATCAATAACAAATTTACGTAATCCGTACTCACTGTTTTTGGTGAATAAAACAATACTATAATTGTAATCGATTTTTTTAATAATATTCATATTATACCTATAATATGCACAAAGGTTTTTTTTATATTAATAAGTCCAATTATCACAAAGTTAAGTTTATCACTTGATTGTAATTAAGTTTGAAATATACATGATATTTTATGAAATAATAACTTCCGCCAGCCAGCTTCGACCGCGTGGATCATCTTCATGATTTTCAACTTTGGAGGAGCATGTATATAGGTACCTCCGAGTTTATAATCAGGAGCCCAAAAATATAGTTTCGTCATAAAATAAGTAACATCAAAAATAACTGACTGCCATAGAAACTTTCAATCTACTACTACCTACCTAGGTGAAATACCTTCAACCTAGGTGAAATAGTGACCCGCTTTAAAAACAGACTTCCACAATCGCTGAAATATTTATTTACTTATTTTTAACCAGTAGCTCAAAAATAAAGTTATATCTAATTTTAAAATGACTGACTTCAAAACAAATTTATCCTCTATTTATCACTTTACCAAGAAACAAAATTTCAATATTTACAACTACACTGAGCTACTCGATGAGTCAGTGAATCAAGAAAAAATCAGAATAAAATTGGGTAAGCTCATGTTTTTTTCTATCAAAAAGATATTACGATAAAGAAATACCATAATTTTTCATAGAACCGCAGCTAATAAAAGACATCAACAAATTTAAATTCTAGAAACGTAACTACCACAGTTATTAAAACTAAAATTATCGAAATAATTGTTTATTTGAATCCCAATGAATAATATAGTAATAGAAGTAACTAATACGCCATAATACATGTACATAATATTCAAATTCATTTAATTATTCATTAGTTTATTATTCAAATTATTATTTATTCCTTAATTTCTAGTATGAAAAATGCAAAAATAGGATTGAACCTTGCAAAACGTAATAAAATATGATATATAAATGGGAAGCCAAGTATTTCGAAATTTAAAAAATAAACCAACTAGGTAAGAACTTGCTTTGTTTGCAAACGTGTGTTTACGCCGATCAGTTTTCGTTTGTGCAAACTCACAGCTAATTAAATATTACAAAAATATGTATTTACATAAAAAATACCTATCTTGTTTAGCTGTGAATACTGAATAGTTCACACCGAGTGTTTCGTTATTGCAAAAATATTTAAACCGGCCATCGTATCATATTTTTAGGTTGTACCTCATGAAACGGCAAGAGAGCTCCCAAACTTCAAACGTGATTTTTTGTTTGTATTTGCTCGATATTGATATCGATAACAGGTCAACACTTGAAATACATATTTACAGTATATGTGTTTATATCGTAACTTTAAAAACAAATAATTTAATTGAAATTAAACAAATATTTAAGAGGAGCTTCCCCATGCAACAAACATGCATTTTTTTCATATTATTAATGTACGTAACAGATGCATTAAATTAGAAGCACTATATAAAATAAATATTCACTAAATAATCCTTATTTTTTTTGCTATGAGACAAGTCAAAAAAGGTCTAATGATACAATATATGTAAAGGAAATGGCATATAAAGTTATTTGTATCAGAGAAATAAATGATGCGTGCGTCTGGGAGTTATGGTCTTATGTTGCGCATTTGCTTATATGTGACTTGTTGTTAAAAATTAATCAGTAATGTCGTGGAAAACATGACGTTTACATACGATCAGAGAGGTCACAATGGTCTCTGCTGTGGTCAATGCATACACACCTCTTTCATCTCTTCGACGTTCTACTTGGTTCATGCAAGAGTCGTTGATATTAATATGGCTTCTGACATCATCCTCCGATAATCTCAGATATCGATCAATATGGGCCTGGATTTTGCTAAACTTATCGTAATAATAGCAGCATCTTAATAGCGTTCCGATTATTGCGTTTTACTAATGTATCAATTATCTACTTAGCGCCAAATATTGTCAGTACAACGCCATATTGATGAATAAATGACGACAGATTCTTTTGTTATTTTGAAATATATGTATTAGATAACGATGTTAAAAAAGCTGTTATAGAAATGCTGGCATTCCACAATTACGATAATATTGTACATATGAATGTCTGACTATAAAGTATCTCTTGGTCTCCCCCGATATCTACAATTATGTATCTGTACATCTGTATTGCAGGGTATTTTACTTATTAGTTTTATATATGTTGTTGTTTTCATAAAGACTGATCTAATCGGCCCAAACACGATGCAGTTGCGTCATTTCATAATTAAGCTTCTATGACCACCTTCCGACTTCATATAAGAGTACTGATACCGTAAATATTGCATTATCATCTGACTTACATATTTGTGCAAAATTTCAAATCTATCGGACATTGGGAAGTGGGTCAAATTTGAGTTCCAAGATTCGTGCAATAACATACTAACAAGGCAAGTTAATTAAAAGCTTGTAAAATACAGATTTATGTTATATATTCGAGAAATATGATCCATTTAACTTGTAAATATTTAACAAATGAAATTCTATTACACTAATTTGAAAAATATTACGCATTCAAAATTTTAAAAAAGAAGGGGAAAAAAGTTATAAAAATTTGCTAAAATACATATGGCGTAAAATTACCTACATGAAACGTAACAATTTTGATTATGACAACTATAAACTATAAAAGCACGATTAAAAGATAAGTCATAACAAGGCGTGACGTCACTTCGTGGCTTGAATTTGTAGGGAGCGTTATAAACCGAGTAGCAGCAGTTTCATAAACATAGCACCAAATCACCGAAACTGTTAATCGCAGACATGCTTTTACTTCTACATTATTACTCAGATATTAATGAACTATTTATTTATATAAAAAAAATAATCAACTAGCCACATATTTAAAATTAATTAATTGTTATACTTAGTTATTTGTTAGTACTTAGCCATCTTTGGACACTGAATTAATACACATGTTTCCCAAACTTCAACTCATTCCATCTCCAAAAAATTTCTTAGTAAATCAACTGTAGCAAACGGAGGGGCTTAAGACACAAGAGCCTAACATATTTAAAAAGAGCATCGAAAATGACAATCAACATTTAATAAGCCTATTAAAAAAACTTTACCCAAAGCTGCATTTAAACTTTTGTGCAGCACTAAATTCTCCCTACATCAGCGATTTAAATAAATGATATTAAAAATATTTTCGGAAAACTTTAACGTAACTTTCTTAGTGAGATTGCTTAAAATAAAATTATATAGCTACTCAGTTTTATGCGGACAGTATAATGTTTTCTATTTAATTTGTAAGCAAATAATCTATTGCTAAATAAAACTTACGCCAGATTACAAAGCGAAGTCAAAAGATCAATTTGGGCACTGACCTATAAGACCACCTAATATAAATATGAAGCTATTCGTTCTGATAAGTAAGATTTGTACCTACATTTCAATTTATGTTCCATGTATATTTTTTATCGATAGACTGTTTTAAGTCAATGGTCTCACAAAGATAAAACATATTAATTAGAATATTTTTAATACATAAATCCCAGTGTTATATAAATATAGAATAACTCTAAAAAAAACGACTAAGTGCGTGTCGGACTCGCGCACGAAGGGTTCCGAAAAAGCAAAAAAGCCACGTTTAATCTATGGGAGCCCCCTTAAATGTTTATTTTATTTTTTTTATATTTGTTGTTGAAGCGCCAATAGAAATACATTACCTGTGAATATTTCAAGTAACTATCACGGTTCACGAGATATACCCTGATGCGAACAAAAAATCACGTTTGTTATATAAAGCCTCCTTAAATATTTATTTTGAATTTTAGTATTTGTTGTTGAAGAAGAAGATATACATCATTTGTGAAAATTTCATCTGTCCAACATTCACGGTTCATGAAATACCCTGGTCACAGACAGTCTTACCCTTTGGATACGGAACCCTAAAAGAACGTCCGATGCACTATCACTTCCCCCAAAAGTGATGGTGCATCGCATGGGGATTTATTAAGCATGCCATCCACGTTTTAAATAACTTTCGGGGGTTCCGTGTGGATGAAGTCCAACACCCCTTCTATCGCCTATCAAGTGACAAGAACAGTGCATAAAGCAGTCCCCCTACCACACAAAAAGTTACTATAGGTATGTTTGAAAATTAATTACCTTTACTTTCAGAATGATTAGAATATAATTTAAAAATTGTTTCAAAACTTTTTATATTAAAACTTATTATAGAAATTAATAGTTATTTATTATACCATAATTTTATCCTTATTTCATACCATATCTTACATAGGTATCTATCACATGTCAATAATTTTATTCCATTTCTACACAAATTAGATAACTAAATTTCTAGATAACTAAATCGAAGGATACCTAAATAGCCCGTAACAACCCATCACGAGAATTTGGAAACGAAATCTCAACTCCTTAATTGTTTACCTATAAATAATATTAGGAATAGTAATTAATTATCTGTTATTTAATATTTTAAAAATAATTATTTAAAACATAAAAAATATTAAATGTTACCATAAAATTAAAAATCTATACAAGAAACTTACTACGAAACCAAAGCGCACATTCTGGCAATTCTGTGACACATTTCTGCACCCCAACCCTCGGCTCTACGTTTTCCTTTGTCTATGACATCCACCCCCTGACGTCACAGTGAAAATCGACCAATCCCTGTGCACAGTGCTCGATGGCTCACACAAGTACAACTAGTGTGGCCGCACCGCGCATCACTTCGCACCTTATCCTGTGTTTTCATTTTGCGACAATATGTGTCGTTCAAATAAGCTATCTGCTGTTATGAAAATCGTTTAAAATGTGTTACAATATCATCGTGTTTCTGTGAAGTTGTGAATGGTTTTATTTTTTCACTGAAATACCGTAGTTTTCTTAAATTACGTTAGGGGGTGGTGCCGTGATGCCAGTTCGTAAGCAAGGTGATTAATATAAAGATCAAGTTTTTCTATTAATGTGACCCATTTTACAAGAGTGCGCCGAGTTCATCCCCTTCTGTTGTAAATGCATTCGGGCTTTGAAGGGGTCCATATACGCTCCACTCACCCCAATTGCAGTACGGCTGTTGATTCGTATCGATAGCTACTGGTGTTGCCAACTATTAAACACATACAAAGTGCCTATTTATTTGTTATAAATTCCATTTGTAAATAAATTTCATATATGATAATATGGAAAAAATTATATCAACTTTCATGCCTGAGCAACATTCCGCAGTCAATAAGCAGTATAGAGATAATAAAACTACACCAAAGTACAAAAGTAATAAACGTGCGTACATCAAAAAAATTAAAGTCTTATTCAGTTTCTACACGTCTCAAAATCGGAATATGATTTATATATAGAAATATTTTACGTTATTCAGAGGCCCATCGAGCTTTAGAACTGCTGGAAGATTACCACTGTAAGCTGGTGAAACCCCAGGATAGGCAACTGCGGCTCGCCATCGAGAGGGTTATCAGAATATTCAAGTCCAGACTCTTTCAAGCACTTTTAGGTAAGTTAACTCTTTTAGGTAAATAGCTGATATGCCTTTATAATAGTAGACTCTAAACATAATATACCTGCCTATATTTTAATAAGAAAATTACTAGGTCACATAAATAATTGACAAATTTAAATTATACAGATTGGATATTATTTCATATATTATATTATCAAAACTAGAGATTAGTCGTTCGCGTGCGTGTAGTATCAGCTGTCGATATTTTTTGAAAAAGAAAATTATCCGATGGTCTTATCCCAGACCTCGAATTATCTCTATATCAAATTTCATAATAGGTAATCAGCATATTGTTTTGGCCGTAAAAACAGACAGGCAGACAGAGTTACATTCGCATTTATGAAAATAATAGGATGTCATCTAACATATAATTTATTAGATATTATTTTGCATTGGTTGATAATGAAACTTAAGTCGTTTAATCAATTTTTATGTTGACCTAAAATTAGTTCATGTTCATATTGAAACATTATCAACAAAAAAAACGTAAATACTTATGCAATTAAGCATATAACTAATACATTCTTGAATTTGTTATTTTATTTAATAACTAGCTTTTTTCCCGCGACTCTACCAGCGTAGCTTCCCGTGGGTAAAAAAAAATCATGATGAGATTAGTATTTCCGAAGAATATCACCTTAGATATAAAGTTAAAAACTAAAACTCTCTATAATATTAGTATACTAGCTTTCCACCGCAGGCTTCGCCCGCGAGGTCCTATTCTTTTTGAATCACTCTGTATATTAATGCAAACCGTATAAAATTCTATAGTATAGTTCAAAATTTAGTATAGTTTTATACTATGTACTTTGTTCCTAAACAATTTTTTCTCGTAGACCATTTTTAAAAATTTACTGGTTTTGATGGACCCCCTGCTGCTACATTTTTACCATATTCCCAAAATTCATCCAAAATGTGAAGATCTAACGATGGACGTTGGAGTCGCGGGTGAGTTTCAACCCTGAATTCGGAGTGTTAAAAATAAATAACGTTACGTAACTTCAACAATGCAAATCGATAATAAAAAAAAACCCTTAAAACAATAATTTTAATGGGAGGTATGTACTTGATGAATAGACAGCAAATTATCAATATTTGGCTTCAGTTTTGAAAGGATTAACCGCAAATCTCTCACCAATTCCAATCCTTAATTTTTATTTCACGCCAACGTAGACCCAATTGAATCCCTCGTGGACCCCTGGGGGTCCACCTGGACCACTTAGGGAATCACTGGTCTAGACTTATGTATTTTAGTAGGTAATACATACGAACACGTTCTCTGCAATATTTTTGCTTGTAATATAAAACTATATACTATCAAAATAATACCAAGGAATGAAGTTGATTGCGGAAGATAAGAATGGGGCTATGCCTATTGGAACAATGGAAATAACTCCACCGATAACAGTATCATTCTTAAAATATGGAAATATCAATAGAGTCAACGAAGTCCGTTTACAACTGTCACCCACATTAACTTAGCATTATTTATTATACTGATTCGACGCAGTTCTGAAAAAAAATACAAATCTGACTTACTCTAAGGGCCAGTGTCCATTCAACCTGTTTTCTTAAAATATAAATAAACCGCGTGTTCACGCGTCACAAACGCTCTTGAATATTCCTTGACCACGGCATTCGTATTGTGATCCGTATTATATTTAGCCGGTTGCAATGAACGACTGACACACGTTATTCGGTCAAATGAAAATAGAAGGTAGTCTAGCCATTTGAGACGAACGATCGACCGATTAGAACAAATATATTTCCATAAGAAATAATACTGAAATCCTATAATAACAATATAGCAATTCTATTAATTATAATTATCTTCAGGCAGGCCTATGTCCAGCAGTGGACGAATATGGGCTGATGATGATGATGATGATGATAATTATCTTCATAAAAAAAGAACTTGAAAAAGACATACTTTTATCGAAAAATACTAGATTTAGTCGACATTGCTTTCCGGTGATAACTTCATTTTTAAAGATATAATTACCCCACTTCAGAGCAATTTTCGTAAAAATTAACTAAAGAAGCTTGCAACTCAGCAAAACAATTTTTTTAAATAAATACCTTGGTAAAAAAAACTATTAAACTATCTGATACTAGCTTCCAGCTAAGAGATTTCCTGTAAAGTTCCACTTACAGTTTTAAATTCTATATCCTTACTTTACCCTTTTAGATTTCCCATTTTTTAATTTTCGATTACATTTACTTATTATGATTAATTTGAAGAAAAACCTATTCAAACTAATAAAATGGATTTCTAAATCTCTTTGTGCCAATTCGAAGAACTTTAGACAAAAAAAAATGTTATTAAATCTCAATTGAGATAAAATAAATAGAATACTATACGAAATTATAAATTATTATAAAATGTTCTAAAGCACTCAGCAGCGAAATATAATTACGTTCGAGAATACGGTCTATTTTAATGAGAGCAAGCTTATTAAACATATTAATAGGTACTCTATATATGTACGTGCGTATGTTCCGGTGTACCTTTACCTCATTCCGGTATCCCTACTATTAAAACCAATTTACATAATAAAGCAAACCAGAACATAAAATACTGAGTAGGTCAAATTAACTATATTACATACTTTGTTGACTAGTACTATATAGGTAACTAACTTTCCGCCAGTGGCGTTGCCCGCGTGGTCCTGTGTTATACTTGAGGTTTAAAACCGCATTAAAATCCATTGTGAGGTTTATAAGAGCTCAACATACAGACAGCGGAAAGCTGTTTTCAGACAATGGGAAGCTTAACTTTGTTTTTACTTGAGTGCAAAAAAAGGTTATGTTGTACGCGCGTATCTGTATACAGTGTATTGATATCTGAACAAACGTATCATACAAATTTTACAAATTATTATATTTGATCAGTTTTTCATTAAGAACATATTGATGCACAATGCACTTGAAATCCGGGAAGCTCAATGGCTAGAGCAATCGATCGAAAATGTTATTGGTTGGAATCCCATCGCAGGCACCTGAGATGGGATTTGATGGGAGTCGCACGTTATTCAACAGTGGAACTGGTGGGTTCAATTACATATAAATGGGAAAAAACTTGGATAATAGACAATGGTCCTTGGGAACGGACATAGGATAGTTTTATAAGCGATAATAACCGATTTCCACCTAGGCGAAGCTGCTGGCAGCTAGCAAAAGTAGTATTGCATAAAAATGCAAGATATAATGCATCTGTTTGTAAATAGAGTTGCCAATAAACTAGCTGCGTCAAATCTGACGTTATAAAAAGAAATCCTAATTTAGTTTCGCTTTAATTTAGCACTGTAATGAGGGACTTTTTGAGCAAAGAAGAAAAACAAATGAAAAACAGCCGTACTATTTTGTTTCTTGTTTTATTTATTTTATTGATACTCTTTGCACAAATGTACAATGGCAGAATTAATAGCATAGGCATTTTCTACCAGACAACCTTAGGGTTATGTGGAAACTACATACATATATTATTAAACAAATACATACATATGAAGACGACTAACGATTTAATAAATCTGCTTGTTCCAACAGAAAGTAACGCATCTTGTTTTTAAAAGCTAATTTACCATTGATCATATCTAATGGGAGGAATGTACAACTTCGATGTGATGAGATGGATAAAGAAATAATTTTATATCCGACTTCAAATTCAAAAAAGAAGGGGTAAATAATGTAACGTATGTTCGACGGCGTTAATTTTTTTATGTAATTTCACCGATTTTTCCATTTTTTTTTTTTTATTTATTGAGAGTGTATTCTTTCCAAAGTAAGAATATTCATCTATCTCTTCTTGAATTGTGAACCAATGTTATAATTATCTACGCATTTTATCAATTATCTACGTGATTCTCGACTTTCACAAGTGCTTGTAACAGCCTAGACAGAATAAATAATTTAGATTTAGATTTTTTTTTGCATAAAAAGAAAAGCATGGCTAGCTTACAATTAATAGCAATTGCAAAGAAAGTTTCTTAAGTTTTTAAATTTTCACGCGCATTACTCATGAATAAAACAACTTTAAACTTTAAAATGTTCCGAATTGTTATGAAACAAATACAAACGCAACAAAACCTCCTAAAATTGTTTCTTAACCGTCTAAATTTTGTAGATATACAAATGATTTGTGATCTTTTGAAGATGATTAGCATTTTTATAAAAGGTCAATCTAATTCAACAATTTAATTATTTCATTTTAAAATCGATCCAGTAGTTTCGGAAACAATTTAATGCAAGCAAAGAATCAAATATTTCCTCATTATAAAGAAGATAAAACTATTATATTCATTAACAGAAAAAAGGCTTTGTTATGAGCATTATCTACATTGGATTAACCTTGCCCTGGTCGGTGCCTGTCATGTACTTGATTGCAGCTGCGGCTCATCTGGGCTTCACTGTGCGAACATAACAACATACGCTATTATTTACTTAAGGCGAAGCTATGCGATTTTCTTGAGATTTCAACCTAAAGTTACGTCATAACCTGATATGCATATATTTTGAAAAATGTAAGATAGATCAGTTGCAGAACGAATACTAATATTATGCATTAGGCTCCGAAGCTGCTGGACTGATTTTTAAAATTCTTTCAGCTACGGGAAACTGCATCATACGGGTGATCAAAGCTATAATTGATGCCTGTGAAGTCGCGAGAAAGCAGCTAGTTCAATATAAAAAGCTCAACATGAAGACTCTTTAAGACTAACAACTAATAATGACATAAAATACTGAATGTATTATACATTGATATCATTTTAAAGTAATTCATTATCTACCTTTTCATATAGGTAAAATTTTGTCAATTTACAAGGATAACTAACAGTTTTATAGATAGATAGATAGTATGGTAGCTGCTATCCCGCGATTTCGCGAAAATGTCAATCCCGTATAATGTAGTTACCCGTGGATGAAAGAGTTTTTAAAAACGGTTCAGTAGTTTCAGAAGCTTTCGGTGCAAACACACAAACAATCAATAATTCCTCTTTATAATATTAGCGGCAGTATATAGTCCTACTTGCTGAAGGCCCTCACCGTTCACCGTCGTCGCTTTAAATGTACACACGTCAGTGTATTCTGTAAGTACATACAATGAATATAAATGTAGTTTAGGTATTGACATGCTATTAATTGTTATTGTTTACAACTACATTTCTATCTCTACATTGTTTACAATAACAAAATACTTAATTATCTTGTAACATTATCTTAATTAATGGGATACCCGATCAGAAAATAAGTCTAAGTATACTTAACAATAGTTTTCATCTAATAAAACTAATATATGTAAAATTTAAATCACAGCATAGATTGTAGTGAACTAATGATAGTAATATATCTCACAATGTTGTTTCTATACTATAAATATTTGACAGTGTTATTAATAAACGAGGTTTAGCATTTAATAATATGAACTTTGAGTAATACAAATTGTATTAGTCAAAATTCATATTATTAAACAGATACTTAGCAAAGGTTAAGCTAGTAGGAGGTTCTACCGGAGTAATATTTACTTCTAGAAGGTATTAGATTGGTTATTCTCTGTAAAATGTGAATATTGATTAATACTAAAATTGCATTTTAGCGTAATTGTACTCTGACGCTAAACTTTGTTATAGCACTGTGAGTGTTATATCCAAGTTTTATAATTCTGATGACAATATGACAACTTAATAACACTTTTAAAATATTTTTTTCCATTTTGTTTATAAAGTAACAAACACTAAATAAGTAAAGGTGGCGGCAACATCGTTGTCTGTACTTAAGTTCTGCACTTGGATCTAATTCCTGGTTACTGTATACCCAAACTTTTCCCATCTCATTAAAAACGAGAACTTTAGTACTAAGTTTAAACCATTACGCGACCAAATTAACTTCACACATCTCAGCATGATATTTTTTCTTTTTTCCTTGTCAAGTTGGTTTTGGTGGCTAATGGTTTCCATATTCTCCTGTTTTCGAGCCACTACCTACCAACAGACCTAGCACGACAATACTGGCGCCCAACTGGGTATACTTTCTTAATGATTATAATTTATTTCTTTTTCATTAATCTTCTCCTTCATCAGTGCTCCATATTTAAATTAAGTTTCATAGACAACATAATGTATTTAGGTTTTAGTTTTAAAATATATTTTGTTTTTTAATTCCCAGCCCATAATAGTGTTGCGAATCTACACAAAATGTTTTTTATACGTGGTCATTAATTTGAACAAACCACAGACTTCTGCCTCGATATTTATTGTTAATCCTATTATTTTATGACTAACATATAAATATGTAAAGCATTCTAATAGTCGCTTACTTCACTTCAAATATATTTACCTAGTAGAGCCTTACAGTAATACCTAAGTATTTTTCTGTGGTCATATTTAATAACTTATATAATATGTAGTTTATAATCAACCAATTCTGCACGATAGCAAATGTAAGATACGAGTATATTTTGTTAAAATTTGAAAATTAATGGACCG